GTAGTAGTAGTAGTAGTAGTAGTAGTAGTAGTAGTAGTAGTAGTAGTAGTAGTAGTAGTAGTAGTAGTAGTAGTAGTAGTAGTAGTAGTAGTAGTAGTAGTAGTAGTAGTAGTAGTAGTAGTAGTAGTAGTAGTAGTAGTAGTAGTAGTAGTAGTAGTAGTAGTAGTAGTAGTAGTAGTAGTAGTAGTAGTAGTAGTAGTAGTAGTAGTAGTAGTAGTAGTAGTAGTAGTAGTAGTAGTAGTAGTAGTAGTAGTAGTAGTAGTAGTAGTAGTAGTAGTAGTAGTAGTAGTAGTAGTAGTAGTAGTAGTAGTAGTAGTAGTAGTAGTAGTAGTAGTAGTAGTAGTAGTAGTAGTAGTAGTAGTAGTAGTAGTAGTAGTAGTAGTAGTAGTAGTAGTAGTAGTAGTAGTAGTAGTAGTAGTAGTAGTAGTAGTAGTAGTAGTAGTAGTAGTAGTAGTAGTAGTAGTAGTAGTAGTAGTAGTAGTAGTAGTAGTAGTAGTAGTAGTAGTAGTAGTAGTAGTAGTAGTAGTAGTAGTAGTAGTAGTAGTAGTAGTAGTAGTAGTAGTAGTAGTAGTAGTAGTAGTAGTAGTAGTAGTAGTAGTAGTAGTAGTAGTAGTAGTAGTAGTAGTAGTAGTAGTAGTAGTAGTAGTAGTAGTAGTAGTAGTAGTAGTAGTAGTAGTAGTAGTAGTAGTAGTAGTAGTAGTAGTAGTAGTAGTAGTAGTAGTAGTAGTAGTAGTAGTAGTAGTAGTAGTAGTAGTAGTAGTAGTAGTAGTAGTAGTAGTAGTAGTAGTAGTAGTAGTAGTAGTAGTAGTAGTAGTAGTAGTAGTAGTAGTAGTAGTAGTAGTAGTAGTAGTAGTAGTAGTAGTAGTAGTAGTAGTAGTAGTAGTAGTAGTAGTAGTAGTAGTAGTAGTAGTAGTAGTAGTAGTAGTAGTAGTAGTAGTAGTAGTAGTAGTAGTAGTAGTAGTAGTAGTAGTAGTAGTAGTAGTAGTAGTAGTAGTAGTAGTAGTAGTAGTAGTAGTAGTAGTAGTAGTAGTAGTAGTAGTAGTAGTAGTAGTAGTAGTAGTAGTAGTAGTAGTAGTAGTAGTAGTAGTAGTAGTAGTAGTAGTAGTAGTAGTAGTAGTAGTAGTAGTAGTAGTAGTAGTAGTAGTAGTAGTAGTAGTAGTAGTAGTAGTAGTAGTAGTAGTAGTAGTAGTAGTAGTAGTAGTAGTAGTAGTAGTAGTAGTAGTAGTAGTAGTAGTAGTAGTAGTAGTAGTAGTAGTAGTAGTAGTAGTAGTAGTAGTAGTAGTAGTAGTAGTAGTAGTAGTAGTAGTAGTAGTAGTAGTAGTAGTAGTAGTAGTAGTAGTAGTAGTAGTAGTAGTAGTAGTAGTAGTAGTAGTAGTAGTAGTAGTAGTAGTAGTAGTAGTAGTAGTAGTAGTAGTAGTAGTAGTAGTAGTAGTAGTAGTAGTAGTAGTAGTAGTAGTAGTAGTAGTAGTAGTAGTAGTAGTAGTAGTAGTAGTAGTAGTAGTAGTAGTAGTAGTAGTAGTAGTAGTAGTAGTAGTAGTAGTAGTAGTAGTAGTAGTAGTAGTAGTAGTAGTAGTAGTAGTAGTAGTAGTAGTAGTAGTAGTAGTAGTAGTAGTAGTAGTAGTAGTAGTAGTAGTAGTAGTAGTAGTAGTAGTAGTAGTAGTAGTAGTAGTAGTAGTAGTAGTAGTAGTAGTAGTAGTAGTAGTAGTAGTAGTAGTAGTAGTAGTAGTAGTAGTAGTAGTAGTAGTAGTAGTAGTAGTAGTAGTAGTAGTAGTAGTAGTAGTAGTAGTAGTAGTAGTAGTAGTAGTAGTAGTAGTAGTAGTAGTAGTAGTAGTAGTAGTAGTAGTAGTAGTAGTAGTAGTAGTAGTAGTAGTAGTAGTAGTAGTAGTAGTAGTAGTAGTAGTAGTAGTAGTAGTAGTAGTAGTAGTAGTAGTAGTAGTAGTAGTAGTAGTAGTAGTAGTAGTAGTAGTAGTAGTAGTAGTAGTAGTAGTAGTAGTAGTAGTAGTAGTAGTAGTAGTAGTAGTAGTAGTAGTAGTAGTAGTAGTAGTAGTAGTAGTAGTAGTAGTAGTAGTAGTAGTAGTAGTAGTAGTAGTAGTAGTAGTAGTAGTAGTAGTAGTAGTAGTAGTAGTAGTAGTAGTAGTAGTAGTAGTAGTAGTAGTAGTAGTAGTAGTAGTAGTAGTAGTAGTAGTAGTAGTAGTAGTAGTAGTAGTAGTAGTAGTAGTAGTAGTAGTAGTAGTAGTAGTAGTAGTAGTAGTAGTAGTAGTAGTAGTAGTAGTAGTAGTAGTAGTAGTAGTAGTAGTAGTAGTAGTAGTAGTAGTAGTAGTAGTAGTAGTAGTAGTAGTAGTAGTAGTAGTAGTAGTAGTAGTAGTAGTAGTAGTAGTAGTAGTAGTAGTAGTAGTAGTAGTAGTAGTAGTAGTAGTAGTAGTAGTAGTAGTAGTAGTAGTAGTAGTAGTAGTAGTAGTAGTAGTAGTAGTAGTAGTAGTAGTAGTAGTAGTAGTAGTAGTAGTAGTAGTAGTAGTAGTAGTAGTAGTAGTAGTAGTAGTAGTAGTAGTAGTAGTAGTAGTAGTAGTAGTAGTAGTAGTAGTAGTAGTAGTAGTAGTAGTAGTAGTAGTAGTAGTAGTAGTAGTAGTAGTAGTAGTAGTAGTAGTAGTAGTAGTAGTAGTAGTAGTAGTAGTAGTAGTAGTAGTAGTAGTAGTAGTAGTAGTAGTAGTAGTAGTAGTAGTAGTAGTAGTAGTAGTAGTAGTAGTAGTAGTAGTAGTAGTAGTAGTAGTAGTAGTAGTAGTAGTAGTAGTAGTAGTAGTAGTAGTAGTAGTAGTAGTAGTAGTAGTAGTAGTAGTAGTAGTAGTAGTAGTAGTAGTAGTAGTAGTAGTAGTAGTAGTAGTAGTAGTAGTAGTAGTAGTGTGTGTATGTGTATGTGTGTGTCCCATATGGTGCAGTGGTATGTGCAGCGATTTCCAATCGATAGGTTGCGGGTTCGATTCCCGACGATTATGGTCACACACGTCTTTCTTCTCTTTCTCAGACTCCTCCTGACTTTTCTTTCATTGTCCTGGGTGGTTACCAACAGCCAGTGCATGCCAGAGTATGTGGTGTGATGTGTGTGTGCGTGAAAAAAATGAAAAAGACCAAAAAGTAGGGATTCACTGGCCAGAAAAGGCCACTTCATAGCTGTGTGGTGTAGACCAGGCTTAATAGTGGCGGTCAATTCTTCAGCATTGCAAGCTGTTAAATGGTGCAATCCCAGCACAAGCTGCTATGGCTTCTGATGTAGCATCGCTATCATCGCCTCTGGCGATGGGCGTCAAATGATCAAATGGTCAAAATGGTGGGTGCACGCGTTGCAGAAGTCAGAATGGTTGTTTGCGACTCCCGAGTTTCACGCTCATCGATCATCAGGTTGACATGTGGAGTTGGCTATACGTGAAAGCATGTTCAGAGTTCCCGAAAGTTCTATTCATTGATATCGGTTTGAATAATTTAGAGTAGATTTCGTAAAATTCAACAAGTTATAAGTTGTGGGGAACAACCAACTGTCCTATGAATTGTAACTTTTTCAATCACAAATTACAAATTACAAAAAGTGTCATTTCTAGTGAAATGACACTTCTAACATTTTCTAAATATGCATACAATCATACAAGAAGCACTTAGGTATACAGTGGAACTCGCTTAGTGCGTACCCGGGTAAGACGTACATCTGCTTAGCACGGTCTTTTTTGTCGCACGGATTTTCCTCCCATAATAATAATAATAATAATAATAATAATAGCACATTTCGCGTAGTAGAGCACTAAATAAAGAAATTTAGTGTTTTTTCCGCTTCTGTCTTGTGAGCATCATCAGCAAGGTGTAGTAGCTGCTGATACTGATTTCTCCTCGGGTGTCGAGCTGCACAGTTTCTTCCAGTCTGTCTTGTCCGCTGCTTGTTGTCGGCACCTGGAAAGGTCTTCCATGGTCTTCAATGGCACACCCAGCTTATTCAGCTGAGCGACCAGACTTGTGGCCAGTGTCAACCTTGGCCGTCCACGAGGTGCTTTGTTGCCCTTGTTAAAATAGCCGCTCATGGCTACTTGCGGTGGCGTGTCCGTGTCCATCCGTAGCACATGACCAGTCATTCGTAGTTGCCTACATGCAACTGTGTATGATATAGGGTTGCTCTTGGTTCAGCGGTATAGCTCGTCGTTTGAGATTGTGTCTGGGTATCGTATTCCAAGTAATGATCGCATTTGACGTCGGTGGAATGCGTCTGCCTTGGCCATTGCTGTTGACGATAATCCCCAGGTCTCGCAATTGTACAGGAATGGCGGCAGTACGATAGCGCTGTACAGGCGTAAGCGTGTCTTCTCCACTACTTTATCTCTACGCAGCCATAGGGCGTACAGCTGGCCAAACACGCGAGAGGCAAGCTCCATCCTGCGCCGAACATCCTCTTCCTCCCCCATCAAGGAGCCAAGCTGCGTAGATGTCCGCCAGCTCTCGTAAACGCATATAAAAATGTGTATGCATACGACGTACTCTGATAAGATGTACAACTCATGTACGGCGGACTTTTCAGCAGGTCCCAACAGAGCTAGCCTCGCATACTACGTACTCTTTGTGTTTTCGTACACGCCGTTTGCACATGAAAGGTTGCCTTGACAGGTACTTCAGAGCGTTGACAGTGCGGAGGAGGCGGTTTGCCGCCCGGGAAGCCTGGTTTGGTGGCACTGGATACGTACATTTTCCGAGTGCAATAAATAATTTCGAGCATTTTGACATACTGCACATGTATCGTATTGGTGGGGCCGCAAGAGCCAACTATGCTAAGAAGTACCTCGGATGCTGTGTACTTTTTCCCACTCCCCGAGAGGGGGTTTCCCACTCCCCGAGAGGGGGTACGTCTTACTTGAGTTCCACTGTATTTACAATATTGATGTACTCTCGAGAGCATAAGTAAGAAATAGGGAAATGAGAATTCTGGGTAAACTGGCAATAAGCATGTTTACAACTGTGCTATAACTTACCATTTGTACAGTAGAGCATCAATGTGGGATACAACACGAGCTAACAGCCACACTGCCAACTGAGTGCCACGCTGCCTGGGTGTTTCAGAGCGCTCCTTAGTTTCGGCCGTGTCTTTGGTGGCCTCTACAGCTTTCTCAGCAAGCTGCGGCAGATCTCTCAACGACTCCATCGGATCGATCTCCTCTGTTGTCGATGGTGGTCGGCTGGTACTGTCCATGGGTGCTGACGGTTCAGACTGGGATGAGACGTAGTCCAGGGATTCTGCAACCATCATGGCAAGTCGTGAGCGACGCTCTCGCAGACTCGAGAGCTGCTTGGACTCCTTTGCCACCGACCTGGAGTGGGTGAGACGGCCCTTCTTAACCTTCTGACTTTCCGCTTTCAGGCCCAAAAACTGCTGGTGAACATTATCCAGAAAGCGCCGTCCAACCGAGACCCGTGCACTCTGCGTTAAAGTGGTAGAGCATCTTGGCAGTACAGGCTCAGCGTCTGCGTGAAGTATCTCCAGCACTTCTCGTATAGCATGTACATTGATGAAGACCTTGGTGAGAATAGAATCAAAAGAAATTGCCGTTGTTTGTTTCCATGGCCTCTTGGTGACCATAGTGTTGAGGTGTTGTCAGAGACTGAATAGTGGAGTAGACTACTTTACCCATCTTCAAGTCTCTTGTCATTTGCTATCGGCCATGTATAGGCCTTAGAACATGAAGACAAAATGGACTACATACACTTCTTAGAATGTACCCTAGTCACATCCAATTTTTCTTGCCTCCGTAGAGTTGTTATCATTTCAGGCCCATAATCTAAGTTGAGAAAGCAAGTCAGCTAATATACACTATGATGTCTGTTGGAGCGCTTCCGGCCCGCGTGCAACAACCACCCAACCTGAAAGGGTCAGTTTTATCGAGGATAAGAAATTAAACTGAATTTCTCAGTACTCCTGTTAGCTTCGTCCCAAATTGTGCACGTCTGACTGCTCAAATCTGCTCCTGTGCTCGGAGTCTAATGCAGAAGTTGTGCCCCGCTGTTTTCCACGTGTTCAATCTAAATTATTTTAATACTGATGTTCATTATAATTTCTCGGGTGCACCATCGCACTTCAACATGCACCGGCTCAGCCACATATGCATACAGAATACTGACAATGTAGCAACCAAATCCAGACGGTAAAACATGCTCACTGACCTCCACCCCACTGTGTCCTATTGGTCCAAGAGGATGCCAGTTTCCAGAGCAGAATACACGACCTTCACACTTGGCTGCACAGGTCATTGTGTCGTTCAGCCTGCACACTCGCAGAACGGGACACCAGGCCAGGTGCAGCTCGATCCCGCTGCGCCAGCAAATCCAGTCGAGCAGGTCGTTAGCGCGCAGGCCAGGTGCCTTCAGAAACGTTGGCAGCTCTTGGACGATGACTTCGTTCATCATCTTGTCGGACAGGATGCGACTGATCAAGCGTGGCCAGAACCCGCTTGGTATGTACGGAGTGACATACAGTCGACAGAAATCCTCACCAGGGTTGAAGTCACATTCCTGTGGGTACATATGGAGAGATACAGGTATCCCTGAAAGCATGTTATCACTCGGAGAAATTCATGCTCTGGGCCCTTCAAAACATGGAAAATCTGCATTGTTCTATTGTACATTCTAAACATATGCAGTGTATTATGCACAGTTTTTTCCAATATTTGGCGAGGTTTTCTTTTTATGAACAGCTTCCAATTCGTTCTTTTGCTTAGCCCTAGCCGTTGTGCCTAAGGTGTGCAATAATGCTTCACATTTTGCTACAAAATGGTGGTGTTTACTATCTATTAGCCATTCTACAATATCAACCTTCACTGACAAGAGTTTTATACTTGACTCAGCTGCATGAAGGAACCGAGGACCAACGGATGTGTCGCTTTGCTGGTGGTGAGCTGTGGCAAAGTGTTGAGGTCGGCCGGAAAGCGCCGTTATGGCGTGGTGGTTGATGAAAATAAGCTTCCTAGGAGACAAGAAACTCATACGGGCTAGAACTTTCTTTTTCCAGATATTATCTTAGCATCGCTTCACGTTTCAGCAAGTTACCAGGGCTCTAACCTGGTAAACTACCCTTGGGGGGGGATATCGCATTCCATTGATGTGCAGGGTACATACAGATGCTACATTGCGTGAGTTTGAAAGAGTTAACGCATTCTGACCCCAGCTTTAGAGTATGCTAGAAGTTCGTACGAAACTCTCGTGAAGGTCCACTCATCTATATGCTAGTGACCTGCATTATCCTGCCAGAGCTGGCGCACATACACACTTACAGCAATAGACTTTGGCATGTCGACCCTCGGTGACAGAAGCTCAGATGGCGACGCTTGACTCAGTTGCTCTTGTCGGAAAGTCTCCAGTCGGAGGCGAGTGGCTCGTGTCAACTTGTGAAATGTCGAAGCAATAACTTGCCGCTGCCCAGAATAGCTTTGACTAAACGAGGCATTGAAGGATTGAGAAACGCCATCATCTGCATCACAGTATATAAGGACAAATTGAATAGGCTGTCATGAGAATGGTTGCTTGTCCAAGAGTGACAAATTCACACAAAGATTTCCACACAAAGACAATTATCAGCGCTTTGTACATTTAGATAGGCAAACACACCGCAGTCTCACTTGCAAAAGGGCCATCTGCTCACAACCTTCATAAAAACAATTGTATAGCAGTGATTCCTACCGGTTTCCCGATTGCCAGGCATGCGATGTCCACCAAAGTCCACAGTGCGCTGGCCTTCCTCATAGCGCTGTGGCAGCATACTGGGGATGAGAAGGATGGTGCGGGAGATGCGCAGCGCGATTTCAAACCTCTCCATCAGGTTTACGCACTGATCAAAAATCTTGGTTGGAAACTGAGTGGCCTCGAACTTGAGCAGGAACTGTAAGTCTGATACATTCATCACACCTGACAGGGAGCAGCCAGGTACAAAAGAAAAGAAAAAGTCTTCTACATGCACTGATGTCCCTTATAGAAAGCAGAGGCACACCAAGACTGAGCGACGATAAATAGCAGCAAAGACGATCTCGTTTAACAGCAACAGTGCCACAAAAAGAAACCCATTCCTCTCAACACTAGCTCAACATGGAACAGAGAACGATGTTGCCATAGCAGATTCACCGAGACTATCGAATTCTCCTTATGCTTAGGCCATAAGTCGACACAGTCACCGAATCTGTATCAAAGAAGTGGGGGTGGTGGTGTTACACCTTTGTATTGATTGTCATATTACCTTTCTTAGCAAAGCTATTCACTTCCTTGACGGCGATGACACGAGACAAAGTTTGACATAGCCACTGTGGGTTGATGAAGTATAGATCCTGCAGGGCTGGCTCCTCATAATGAAGAAGAACACCTGCAAGCACAGGGATGCCTTGCTTAGTACATTGGTTGCCATACAATAACAATACAACTGTGTATCTGCAGGCTGTGTTGTCTGATTATTGGCCCAATGGCATGAAACTCGGAGTTACAATCAATCATTAGGTCCCCCCCCCATGAACTTGTATCTGTAGGACAGGAAAAAAAGCTCTGATTATGCTAGCTCATGTTGTGCAACACATGCTATGATACTGATCAACTCCCTCAGTGCACACGCACACACGCACCCCCCCCCCCCCCCCAACACACACACACATACCCCCCCCCAACACACACACACATACCCCCCCCCCCAAACACACACACACATACCCCCCCCCCCCAACACACACACACATACCCCCCCCCCCCAACACACACACACATCCCCCCCCCCCAACACACACACACATACCCCCCCCCCCCCAAACACACACACACATACCCCCCCCCCCCCAACACACACACACATACCCCCCCCCCCCCCCAAACACACACACACATACCCCCCCCCCCCCCAACACACACACACATACCCCCCCCCCCCCAACACACACACACATACCCCCCCCCCCCAACACACACACACACATACCCCCCCCCCAAACACACACACACATACCCCCCCCCCCCAACACACACACACACACATACCCCCCCCCCCCAAACACACACACATACCCCCCCCCCCAAACACACACACACACATACCCCCCCCCCCCAAACACACACACACACATACCCCCCCCCCCCCCCAAACACACACACGAAACGTTTAATTCTACAAGTGCTTACCATAGTCATGTAAGAAGCTTGTGGCGTCGTTGATCTCATCGTCGCGTGGAAGTTTGTCCGGTGTGCTGCTGTACTGGATCATTGTTGAGCTATGAAGCACAGCAACATGATTATGCATGGTAAGAAAGAGAGAATTGAAAACAGAAGGCAAGATGCACTTCATACCTCCCCTCAACAACACACCACAACAGCACATGGGCATGGAAAGAGGCAAATCTCTTCCGTAGAGACTTACATCAGTGTACACGTTAAGACAACGAAGCCGGAAAACGAACGGTGAACTAAAACCTTTCCTACCAGGCATGTCATACATTTCTTCAGATCGGGGGGGGGGGGGGGGGGGGAGGGGTATATACTTTAATGTTGCAGGCTTGCACACTACGAATCCATACAGCAGAATTTGCAACTCTGCACTATGGGTTCAAGAGAGCAAAGATCATGATTTACATCACTCTACATGTCGAGACACAGTAAAACGGTTGTCATGATGATTCAGCGCAGCACTGTAGTCACGTCATGATGATTCAGCGCAGCACTGTAGTCACGTCATGATGATTCAGCGCAGCACTGTAGTCACGTCATGATGATTCAGCGCAGCACTGTAGTCACGTCATGATGATTCAGCGCAGCACTGTAGTCACGAATCGTGCCTCTGATCATCCATCAACAATGATGTAAATGACAAATTCCATTTGCCTAACTGATGCCGAGTTACACACTTTGGTTTAAGTATTTTTGGATAAACCCAATGGGCCATGACAGATTACCCAGAAAGCAACTTTGGCACTGATAGTGATGGCCATATTGAGCTATAAAGCTATAGCTGCTATCCAAGTGGTCATTAGCTGTACCAACCCATGTATTGTCTGTAAAATAGTCAAACACGCCAAACATCACATGCTGTCTATCTACCTGTAAACAGTTCTGCAAACAGTTTTTTTGAAAGGGCTATAGACCTTCACATGGAGTCTTCAAACATTTTCTAACCCATCTATAGACTATGTGAAGAAGAGGTTGGTGCGACTTCGGCGATACTTGGGAATTGTGTCGCAAGCTCCCACGTAGGGAGCACACACAATTCCCATGTATGGACTAATTCAAAATATAATTCTATTCTGGTCCTATGGCTCATACATGTAGTCAGCAGTCGTCAGAACAGGAACTTTGCCATCACGGGCGAACGCCGTCGATGCTTCACGAACAGCCTTTTCTAGAACACTGTAGGACTCTGGTATCATTTGATCAATCATGCGCACTGATTCTCTCCTCGCAGCACCAGGACCTGAGAAACAAAACCAACCAATCACACCGCATGACTGTCACTTGAAAGCCATTAATTTTAGAATACATCCTGGCCTCCAATGCACAGACAAGTTACAGTGATTGTAGAGATGTGATGCAGTAATTTCATTTTAAAGACAGGCTAGCAGCTATATGTACACCACTGGCATAGATTATATTCAGTGTAGTGCACAGTGAAGCACAGGATGGAAACTCTACAAGAAAACATGACCTACAGTCCATTTCAAAACTATAGACGTGTACCTAGGCAAAAACCGTTACGCCAGCATCTATACCACATAAAATCTGTGATCACTTTGTGCATAATTTTTTCCAAATTGGGCGTCTGTTATCCAATCCTTTAGAAACTATATGAGAGTAATTGTGGAGCGATCTTGAGCAATATTCCGAAAACTATTCTCAAAAAGTTCCAGCCAAATTTGAAATATTTCAAAAAACCTACGCGTCTATAGTTTTGAAATGCACTGTAGGGAAGAGAGACCGTAGCTACATGCATTTAAAACATTATGTACGGTATGTACCTGGGCTCTGCGCTCTAATCTCGGAGGCCACGTTGTAGACCAAGTCCCGTAGCTCTCTGACGGAGCTTGTCTTCAGGTTACTGAGCTCCATGGCCTCCACCACATTGGGCAGGCCGGGTCGAGGAAGACCTGATCGGTCCACCACATAGCGACGGCGCACTTCATCTTTAAGCTCCTGCACCTGTGCATGCGTCATGCTTTGCTGAACCTTGTCCAAGTGTGTGCCGACAATGATCACGGTTGACCCAGGTGCACGAGCCTGCACATCAGCAGTAAATGGAGAAGCCCAGTGATTCATCTTGGTCTTTCATCGGCACAGTGCATCACAGGAATACACTGGGAAAAGCAATGAAAGTAGCGTACTCGATGGAACTTGCCACACAACAACTCAACTCGCATTGATGTCCACAGCAAAGTGAACATGAATTGATTTTCTAAACATCGCCTTTTTATTCCAAAACTGCATCATGTTTCAGTATCAAAAGCACAGACGCAAATGGCTCACTGCAATGATATCATTTCCATTCAGTTTCTTTTCCAATCACCATGCACGCTAACGGCCAGCTGAAAGACTCTCTTCTTCTGACGGCATTAGGGTCAGAGGCTGAGAATACAGCTCAACCTTTCAACCTGACATGTATAATGTATAGGTATAGTTGTACACTTCATGTAAGCCCATCGTCCTAGCCTTCTGGGTGCAGTTGACTCACCTGGATGTTGACCAGCCAAGGCTGCAGCTCGCAGATACCGGACAGTCCGGTTTCCATGTTCCAAACGGCGATGTAGAGAGCGCGTCGTGAGAGAAAGCATTGATGCGTTGCATAGTACTCCTCCTGTAATCAGAGTGAAGACCAGCACAAATCCCCAGTAAACACTCTTTCTCATTTCCAGTTTTTTTTAAATGACTCAATGATAAGCTACTAGTTGGCTTCAAACAGTAATGCTTGCAGGATATAGGAAATAAGCAGAGTCCTTATTAATATTAGAGAAGCACGTGCAGCCGTAGTGGTGTTTGGGTTATCACAGTCTATTCTTGCACGACACCCCTATCCGCCATTATATTTTATACACTGTACTACCTTTGAAAAGATAACACCATTGTCTACGCTGGTTCTTGCTAGGGTAGTCACTGTAGCAGGTATGAGTCGAGGGCTGACTGAGAGCTACACGCACACACACCTGAGTAATACAGTAGATGCCATGTAGGCATGCACATTATCCTCGTGAAAAGAAAGATGAGGCCAGCCGGGTTGTCTCGGTATTCAGCCAATTGACAGCTGATGATAGCATAGACATGTTAGTAGTATGGGGAATGGAGATCACTGACTACTTGTAGAGAAGACTATGGCATGTTTCCCATTTTGGGAGGTGGACAAAAAGGCAAATTTGTCCAAGAATGCAATCCTATATGCAGACACTTTCATGGGAATACCTGGCCACCGAAATCCCATACGCAGAAGTTGATTGGGTCGGGAGCCTTTTGAAAAGGCTTTGTACTCCGCGTCACTGAGCACCAGCATTGCACACTGACACCGACAGTTGACAGCTGCTTCTGTTTACTACGTCCGGGACCATGCTGGAGTGCCTTGACCAGTGTTGTCTTTCCCTGGCCATGGCGGCCAACAATCATCAGTTTCAGACGGCGATGTTCCACAGAGCTAAGGCGGGAAAGAAATTTGACATACAGGGAGTTATCTATTTGGTATCGAAGAACATGAGCTCGTGCCAAGCAAAATAAAGTGCATAGGTTCGCAACAAAGGTGGCACGGTGAACTGAGCACTCTTGCAAATATTGCCCCACAGAACTGAAGAGTGTCTATACACACAGGCGTGATCTATGCCCACACCGTGACATTGTTTTCCAGAAAGTACATGTCCTCACTTTGTCTTGATCGCCCGAAGGTAGCTGATGATGGCCTTGTTTCCTCGGTCCAGCACAGCAGCATGCATGTTCTTCAAGTCAAGCTCTGACACGTCAAGTTGGTAGAGGTGAGTGAGATTGCCTAGGTCGGACGGCAGCTCTTCTATCTTGTTCTGACCAATGAACAAGACGTTCAATGAACGGCAGTGGTGAAGACCTTCCGGCACCTGGCAAGGAATCACATTGACAAACAAACAATTCGAATTAAGGCATTGTAAACGAATCTACGAGATTTCTTGCTTGATGATGAAGAATCTCTGAGACATTCAATAACAATACGTTCAAAAGTACTTTGAATGAGACGGTGTCAACTTGAGAACAGTTCAGGAAATCAACCCTCCTTTCTCTATTCCTCTCCAGTTTATTTGAAAATGCATACAAGCATATTTCGAATTGATGCGTAGCAGCACGACAAATCGGCTGATGGTAACAGGGTAATGCTTGGCAACAGGTTAGCAATGCAGGTTGTTCTGTTACATCAGGCTCTGGCCAAGTACAGGATGGTATAGAGTGGCAAGCTGTACGGCGAGATCAGTGAAGCATTGACAATATGCTACTCGAAAGAAAATGCATTCGCCAAGGATACCTCTATCGCTATACACAATTGTGATGGATGCGGAAAAAGTCAGTCTGACCCACTCTGAAGCGTGCCGTAAAATTCTCTACACAGCAGATTCTCTAAAACTAAAATATCAACGGATGAATTAGCTCCTGTAACTAACCTGCGTGAATTCATTGCGATCAATGTACAGGAATGTCAGAGACGGCATGAGAAGAGCATGACCAGCAGGAATGCCACTCAGCGCCGAGGCCGCTGATTTGTAGCCTGATGAGTTGCTGTTCCCTGTTGTTGCCGGAGACATCATCGAATTGCCGCCACCGCCGCCATCGGTGGTGCCAGCATCTTCATCGTCATCGCCACCTTCAGACAAGCCACGGCCAGTGTTTGGATCATATGTCACCATCACGTGAAGGTTGTCCAGCTGGTTCTCTGACAGGCGCAGTGTGCTAAGCCGCGGCAGGAAGCCAATGAAGTGCTTACAGTTGACCGGACGCGAGTTCACCTGGTCAACGCCGGTGTTTGTGGCACTGCCTGAGCCATTCATTTCCAGCAACGGCCATGCGCACGGTCCTGTAATGTGATCACTCTAATACGCAACGTACAGCATAGCACAGAATAGAAATGTATTTAAGTATACATACAGTGCAACTCACTTAGTACGTACCCGGGCAAGACGTGCACCTGCTTAGTACGGCCCTTTGCCCTTTGCCCTGCCAAAAGCGCATATACAAATGTGTACGGATACGACGTGCTAATCGATCTGATAGGACAAACAAATCATGTATAACGGACTTTTCAGCAGGTCCCAACAGAGCTAGCCTTGCATACTACGTACTTTTTTTTTAACATACCAGGAAGTCGTTAACGTTTGGGTACAATTCCCTGACCTTTACACATGACAGGTTCGCTTGACAGATACCATACTCGCGCGATTAGAGCCCTCTCTTGACTAGTGCCCTATCTCGAATAGTGCCCTAGTCTCCAAGAGCCAGTGAAAAATAAAGCCCTCTCTTGGATAGTGCCCCCCCCCCCCCCCCCCCCCCGGTCTTGTAACCAAGCCCATGTGCAAGTTTGGTGTTCTTTTGCTAATTTTGTTCTTGGCCATTTCTTTGCACTGTTTTTTTCAGGAACAAAATCGCAGGTCTTGTTCCCGTTTCTGTGGAGTCGTGAGCGTTTACAGTACACTTTAGGCTCCGCTTTTCTTTGTTTTATGCTGGATGACGCAAATGTACCAGCAATGAAAAATATAGTGCCCTCTCTTGAATACTGCCCCATCTGTGATGGACATTGAAAAAATAGTGCCCCAGGGGAACTAATCGCGCGAGTACGGTACTTCAGTACCCGTATGTGGATAGCATGGAAGAGGCTGTTTGCAGCGCTGGAAGCCTGGTTTGGTGGTACTGACTATGTCCATTTCTGAGTGCAAGAAATAATTTCGAGCATTTTGACATACTGCACATATATCGTATTAGTGGGGCCGCAAAAGTCAACTATAGCTAAGAAGTACCTCGGATGCTACATACTTTTTTCTATTCCCCAAGGGGTTACATCTTATCCGAGTTCCACTGTACGTACATGTACACAAACAAGCACTGTAGTGTTATGATATGAGCAGCCAACTCAGGACCGCATACAATGTAGACAATTCCTCTCCCCTCCCCCCGTCCACCGGCCACGCAAACACCGCAAATCACAGTTTTAGGTTGCTATAACGCTCTGCTTGCTCCAGTATTACTCAGACTCCTGAGACCCAAAGTGCAAAAAACAATGGCATAGATTATTCGAATTTAGGCAGTTCTGACGAACCTGGGTTAGAGAGACGAAATTGAAGTCAAAGCTTGCGAAGTTTGACTGGAAAGAACTGAAAATTCGAAAGTTATTTATTTCCAACTTGCTCAGTGTTGTGGCCATTCACCTGGCTGGTGCGAGCAGTTACGCAATGCTTCCACTACTGCAGCTCCGTGTCAGAGCACCCGGGATGTCTGTTAGCTTATTGTTCTATACTTGAATCTGAGCAGGCTGAGGGCAGTTGTATTGCTCCTTTGCGGGCACGTGTGAAAGACTAGAGATTTGGCTGTTCCGTGGTAGACGATTCACCTACGCGAACAATCAACTATTTTTGCAAAGCATCTCTTTTCAATCAAGTAGTTCAGAAGAATGAACATTAAAATTTGGAACTTACGGTAATCAGATTGAGCCGATTGTGATTGGCTCGGAACACAAGGATATTAGAAGGCAGCGAAAGGATGTTGAGCATTTCCAACTGGTTATTGCTGACATCGAGCTCCTCAATATTGGGAGCAAGACAATGCAGGTTATTGGGTAGGCTCTGCACAGAATGGGAAAATAGATAAAAACACTACTACATTACTACATGCAGGCCCGTCGCACAGACTTTGGAGGTGGGGCGGCCATGGAAGGGGGAAGCCAATTGCAAGCATTTCCGGGCATTTGGTGCCATTTCAGTGTAACTAAAATTAAAGACTTTTTGATTCTGCACCAAACCAAGAAGACACTACGATCGAGGACAAGGGTTCCTCACTCATTCAAAAATTGAAGCCAATTGCAAGCATTTTCAGGCATTTGGTGCCATTTCAGTGTACATTGTACATGTAACTGCAATGAAAGACTTTTTGATTCTGCAATAAACCAAGATCGGGGACAAGGATTTGCCACGTTTGCGCTGAGCTGCGATCATAGTGCTTTGTTGCATGCAGCGTGCTCCAAAAAACGGCCGAAAAAGTGGGGCGACCTCAGCTGTGACGGCCTTGACATGTATATGAACATGAACTGAGAAGTAAGTGACAACACCTTCAAAGAGTCTTCATTAACAGCATTCACCTTGCTGTACATGTACATGTGATGATGACACAAAGGAGATTCTCTTTGGGCAGAAAGTTTGACAACCGGCATACACCACAAACTCACATTTGAAAACCCTGGTTTAGGGTGTACATCAACTCATTCAAGAGCACATACAAGCGGCATTACAACAGGTTGGAGTCGAAATGCATAACCATAATGTACTTGCCAGATAATATACACCTACAACTTCAACACACCTTCAGCCTGTTCTGCACAAGGAACAGCTTCTTCAGTGGATAGTTAATCTCAGCATCTTCCTGCAAACAACACAGCCACAGTATAATGGTATTACTGTAAGACATCAAGATAGGCACATGCACATCTCCAGCAGTTTACAATATTTCGCAAATGAGTACACGAATGTGCAGCTGACTTAATTCACTGACCGGTAGTGAGACTGGGATTCCGTTGCGACTGCGCCGTTGACGGTACACTCCAGTCGTTGTTGTCCGAGACGAGTGCTTGGCAAGGAATGAAGAGATCCGCGCAAAACCTACGAGCACAGAAAATTGGTAAGGTTTGATTAGGTTAGCAACCCCTTCAAACTAATGAATGTTTGATCAGGTGTGCGCATTATTTTTATTTCTATGTGGGGGGGGGGGGGGGCGTGATGATCCCCCCCCCCCCCAACCAGATGCTACAGTGAAAAGGCTCACAAGAATGGGATATGAAACACGGATGTTGAGCCAATAATAAATGTAGAAAGGAAAAGAACATATGGATACGAGTTATTAAGAGTAACTGTCCACCATTGTAACTATAATAATGAACTAAAAAAAGAATGGGATAGCTGGAAATTGTAAGAGTCCACATACCTTGCCGAGACATTTGCCTGCTGGCCGATAAGCCGTGAGACTGAGAACCATTCGACTCCTCAATTGGCTGCATGTGTGGCTCAGGATCCGTCGGCAAGGAAGTGATACCGTTGCCATTTGCTCGCAATGTACGCAGCTTTTCCGCCGTCCATATCTCAAACGGAAGGCTTGTGAGTTCATTATTAGACACGTCCAGTACCTTAGCATGTTGCACGGAGCATAGGACAGAGACAACTTCATTCCTGGAAACAAAGCTAGACAGAAAAAAGAGCAGCTATTGGGAAAATGTCTTTCAGTCAGCTTGCACAACACACACTTAACGGGAACGTTATATTACTGAGCATCTGGTCAATTTCAGTCACTGCACCGTCAACCCTGTATGGCGATGATGTATGTTCAGAATGTTTCATCCCGTAGCTTCAAATGTCAATACTATATTTTTTCCCACACGCAACTCACAATGAAAACAGGCGAAGTACATAGTGAAACCAACCAAGCCCATCACAACAATACTTACCTCCAGTCCTTCCAAGGTGAATAGAGCACCCGGAATGTCTGTTAGCATATTGTTCTGTACTTCAATCTGAGCCAGCTGAGGGCAGTTGTATTGGTCCTCTGCGGGCGTCAGTGCAAAATTGATGACAGATGCCGGCGCCAGATCTTGCACTGGAACAGACAAATGTTGAGACATTTGAAACCTTCTCAAAGCCCATTCTCCAATGCACCCCAGTGTGCGTACCGATGACACGCCAGGATCACAACATCACAGCAACGTACACAGTCATCTACAATGCATATTCCAAGAGGGCATAACCGTGGCTCGCTTCGGAACTGTAGGCATATCGAAACAAAATTCATGATGAGTTCTACATGCCATTGCTCCTGCTCACAGGAAAGAAAGAGAAATGCAAGACACCGCAGTGCACAACAGAACGTCTTACTGTCTTCATCTTGGCTGTAGTGAATACTGTCTCCTGACGGTACCGGTAGCCAGGTCAGCTTGTTGTCGGAGAGGATGAGAATCTTTAACTGAGGCAGCTGGAAGATCGTCAGCGGCACTTGGGTGAGCTGGTTCTGAGATAGGTTGAGAACGGTGATGAGGTTGGACGTCAGTGCTGGTGGAGAGATGAGCGCCATTCTGAACGACGTCAAGGCACACGAGCTGCTGCGTTCAAACACCGTCTCCAGCATCGTATCCAGTGCGTTCTGGTTGGGCAGTGTCGTCATCTCTTGTACACCCGCTAGGAACCCTTGTGCTGTTTTGATGAAACGAGAAACCACCCAGGAGGCCAGCTGCAGGTAGTTTGTATCCAGTGCCTTCAAGCCAATCTTCTCCCAGATAATCTGACCAACATTCAAGTTCTCCACATTGCTATTGCTCAGTCCGTCCCGAGAAATCTGCTCGCGAAAGAACTTGGCACAGGAGTCGTGAACCATTTTGGCTAGCAACAAGGATGCACCTTGTGTGAACTCCAAGTCACCGGCAAGTTGAAGGCCGTCGCTCATGAATTCTGCAGCATCATAGTGCACCAGAAGCAGACCGAGCACATCTAAATGCTTCGTGGCAACAGCCAAGTCCAATAGGGTCATTTGACGGTTTAACTCGTGGTGCTCGACACGGAACTTCGTGGAGTTTGATCTGAAGAGATTCTCCTCCTCTTCAGCACCTAATATGTACATGAGCTTCGCATGACCATGGACGATAGCTTCATGCAGTGGCTGGTAGCCGCGCGCATTCTCCACGATCAGGCTCACGCATGCATATTGCCCGTCAAATAGCCTGTTGTTGGCCAGGAGCCTGGGCGCAGTACTGGTTGGTGACATGGCCCGGGGCGACAGTGGCTGATTGCCGTCATCACTCTCAAACCCGCCGTACAGGAGAAGCTGCCTCACGATGTAGTGGTTGCCTTTGATCACAGCTAAGTGCACTGGAGTGTTGCCATCCGAGTTGCGACAGCTGTTGACAGGGAACATTAGACCATGACCGCTACAGGCTGCGTCCACTGCCTCTCCACTGTCCTGCTTGGGGAATCTCATCGGACAGAATTGTGTCTGCCAATTTAGTGTGCCGTTGATATCATGCACTTGGGTGATCTCGTCCACATCAGCATTATCCTTCTTCAGCCAGAAATCCACTGTATGTTTAAGATACTCGAAAGAAAACCCGTCTTCACCGCAATCAGAGCCCAGTTGGGGACAGTAGCAGCTCTTGATCTAGACCACAAACATAGAGCAGCAATCGGTATAGTTCAGTTAAGCAATACATCTGAACAGACAAAACAGCCTGTCACATTACAGCTGGTGGTGCTGCCAAATTCCGCAGTGCAACAGGTAATGAGCTCAAAACTCGATATTTTAGCCGAACGTTTTCACATTGTGATACACGCTCTGATACACATGTCCAATCATCTCTAACTAAGTACTTCAAGGACGAACAGCCTGTGCTCGAACTGCACCATGGCGGTGTTCTATAGATATGCGTTGGCTATAGTAGGCTGTCAAAGGTCGTGTCACATAGCTAACATAGTTATCTACATGTCTGAAACGTACCAACTCCATAACTTGCTCCTGGAATCGCAGCAGAACGGTTGTCAATGCAAGGTTGCCCTGCTCGCAAGCAATGTGAAGTGGAAGTGCCAAGTCTTTGTTCTGCATAGCTGCCAGGCTTGGATCGGCCTCGAGCAGGCGACGAGCGATGGCAGCACCGGCTGCATACTGCCTGGTTCTCGCAATCACATGCAGCAAGTTATCGCCACTCGACTCGTGCAGACACTTTACGCAGGTTCCCTTGCGGATTAGAAACTCCACAACGCCATGCTTGGAACTAGCACATGCCCTGTAGAGAGTAAGTATAATCAGATACATCATTTCATAATAATAAATATGATTGTACTCAGCACATTCTCTGCAGGAGCAGCAGCCACTATGCTGTAGACGTAATTAGAAAATCCACTCAAACAGAACACATGTTAGAACATGAGCACACTCACACACTGTGTCTTTTCAACTCTTTTGCCAGGTATTTTTTTAAAGTATTCGACATCTATGAGTCTGATAAAACGTTCGTGGAGTTCTTCATACGACTGTAAGGGTTGGTTCACAAAAGCCAAATCTGCGCCGGGAAGCACCAGCTGTGAGCCAGCTCCCGATCCGTCCCGAATACAGTTCGAGTACCAAATCTGCTACAAAGTGGTACAGAATGTGCCAAAATGCTACGACAGGTTTGCCAACTGAAGCTTGAATTCTTTGTTTCTTCAGCAGTTCAAGGTCTTTAGGTGATGGACACTCGGTGCTACCTTTTACTAGAGATCATGAAACTACTTCTACACCTTTTATTGCAGTCTAGTAAGCAATGGTGTCGGAATTATGCATGCAAAAGTTGATGAAGTTACTAGAACTTGCCAATGTATCCTTCGTATTTTGTATTTGTTTCAATTGTACTTGTCTCATAAGTTGCACAACAGTCAAGCAGATCATCCGAGAACGACGGGTTGGTATGCTGACTTAATTTGCAACATTGAAGCGACTACAAGAATGGCGAACGGACCTCATCTTTAGCTTCAATGTACTTCTTTTTGAAGAAGGAAAATTTGGGACGAGTCTTGGTTTGAAATTTTGATAAGGTCTGGGTCCCGGCACCGGCGATCACCGGCGCAAACGGTTCACAAATCATTTTTGGTCAAAATTGTACAGGATCAATGCCGTGGCAGATTGCAAGAGTTGGGCACAGCCCAATTTTGCCGGCCGATCCGTTGCGATTATTTACCGTATGATTTTGTTACGATTGCACTGGTTCACATAATCGCAATGCACCGGGAGTGGCTGCAAAAGGCCCACCGATGGTTACTCCCGGCGCGTACCGACGATATGTGAGCCAACCCTAACAGGTTAGTACCTCTGCATTGGAGTATAGCCATCTGCATCTTTGCACTCCATAAACGAGGTACTCTCTTCCAACAGCTCCTCCAGAACAGGTACATCTCCACTGCAACAGGCAGCAAAAAAGGCTGCAGCACACAATGAAAAGCACGTGGAAAACCTGAACAAGTATTCTGTCTTGCATAAAAGATCACAATGTCCAAGAAGAATACGATCAGATAATCACAAACTGTGCTTAGTTTAAAAAAAATGCCAGTACAGTCGTACCTCTCTAATCCGGCACCTTTTGCAACGGCATTTTCTGCTGGATAAACAAGGGTGTTGGATTATCAAATCCTGCCCTCCAACCTGGCCCACATGTTATCATACATGTTTGTGTCGTACGTCAAAACGTAGGGATTTTCTGTGTCAAACCAAGTACTTTGTGGAATGCATGTCTATAACATACACTTGGGAATATCTTATGCACTAGCATAGGATATTCCCAAGTGTATGTTACATGTGTTGTGTATGTTACAATGGTCCCTGACAGTCTGCGATGTACAACTGCTGGATTAGAAAATCGAATTATGTACAGTTTGAGTGATTTGTTGCAGAAAATCGCTGCTGGAGGCGGAATTCAAGTGCCGGATTAAAGCGTAGAAAATGAACTGAAAAAATCTGTTTTACCAGAAAGTGGGCTGGTTTGCAAGGGTGCTGGATAAACAAGTGCCGGATTAGAGAGGGACGACTGTATATTTGATACACATGAATGTCACTGTATTCACCTTCCGGTAGCCAGAGACTACAAGCCAGTGTGGTCGTTGAAATTAGCCAGAGACTACAAGCCAGGGTGGTCGTTCAAAGGGTACACACCAAATGTACATCCAGCCATTCACAGTCTGTCAGATGAGATGGCAAAAACTTTAAATGAAGTACGACAGGAGTACATGTATAGAATGGATAGGGGGGGGGGGGGGGGCGTATGAAAGCGCAAGACATACCAGTTTCTTGCATTTTGTTTTGCCGTTCCTTCTCTAGCTGTCGCTCTGGAGGGAACAGGTAAACATCATGTTGAAGGTTAGATCATTGTGATACATGCACTCTTGTATCAAAAAAATGTTTTATTGAAGGCTATTCCCTACATTGGATTTCACATGTGTATTGTATATCCTTCAGGGAATTGCTGCTTATCGGCTCTACAAAATAATTATACAAACACCACCACCATCACTGCTGGCACTGCCACCACGGCACCACCACCACCATCCGGCACCACCACCACCACCAGCACCATCACCAGCGCGGCACAAGCACCGGGCCAACACCACCACGGTCTCAGACGTTGCATCCAGAAATATACATTGTCTCTAAAGTTAAGCTCTAATTATGTATTGTGATGATCAGGAGGGTAATCTACAAATGTACAGCATGAATCTCTACCCCTTTGTGTACGTGCTTTTCTTTTCTATTTTTTCTCTTCTTCCGTGGTTGGTCTCACCCGCTCCTCAGTTCAATTGGCTGCCTTGACATGCTACGAGGTGCAGAGTTAAATAAATAAATAAGAATTGGAACAGGTCGCGAACCTCTAGCTTTGTCAAGAATCTCGGCACACTCTGGTTGGCGATGATACACAGCAAGACTCTGTGGAGTCGCATCTGTTATGCTGCGTGCATTGATGTCCGCACCGTGACGCAGCAACAGTTCAACACATCTTGTGAATCCATTCGATGCTGCCATGTGCAGTGGTGTCTGGGCACGCAAAAAAACCATGCAAAACTTACAAACACAGAAGTAGTTCTTGAATGAACTGGGCTAAACATGATGGCATATGCATTGTTACATTGGTGCGCGAAAGACTTTTCCTTGTTCAGTCCGTCAAGCGCTTACCGTATTATCTCTAATATAAGCACAGTCTCCAATAATAGCACGTCTCCAATAATAGAACACCTTGGGGCGGCATTCAAAAAATAAAGTGCTCAGTCTCCATTATAAGCACACTGTGTAAATTCATTATCTGTACCGGCGAAAAAACCCTGAAATGTGTGTGTCTGACATGAATTTGGCATGGCAACATGCCTCTGAAATTATGAGGTTGAAATAATAATGGAACAGTCTCCAATAAAGGAACGTCTCCATTAATAGCACGGGGCGGAGGTACATCGAAAAAATAAAGGACCGTGCTTATATTAGAGATAATACGGTATGAGTATTTGATGCATCGGGGCTACCAGTGTACTATTTTGTGCATGATGAGTGTGCATGTGTGTGTGTGTGGGGGGGGGGGGAGTACAGTGAGGGATGTGTCCCACCAGCCTGTATAGTTTCACAGAAGCATGAGCTTCGAAGTCTACACCACAGCTCAGTGGGTAGAGCATCGCTGGCCTTCAGCAAAGGTCCTGGTTCGACTCCTGCTGGTGACAGTAAATTTTTCTTCAGACTTGTTTTCCTTTTCAGTCCCTTGAACTTCTGAGAATTGAAATTTCCAGTCTTGGAATACATATGTCCCCCAGAGTAAGGCATATCGACAATTCTCAAGGTCTCAATATAACACTGACCTCGATAATAGCGACAATAATAATGGCCGGGAAACGGGCCATTTTAGCTGTTTCCTCGGGCCTGAGCCTATAGCGTTCCCCGCTCAAACAGGCTGAACTCACCTCGCGGAATGCAGCACGCCTTGCACGAATGTCCACATCTGCCTTCATCTCCAACAGCTCCTCCATGCACTCATGACGGCCTTTGAGTGCCGCAAGATGCAAGGCAGTGATGCCGTCTCGGCGCTTTTCGTTCAGGGCAAAGCACAGGAGCGTGGACGTCTCGCTCTGCCGTAGCGTGCGTAGCGCCAGGCTGTCATCCTGCTCGATGCAGCGAAGCAGCTGTGGCAATAGGCTGCCATTATCGGTCATAATGAAAGATATATCAGCCCTGCATGCATTACAACACAGACCCGATTGTGCACACATACAGCATTGTCATATGCAATGATGGTAAACAGTGTGACGTCAGTATTACAATACCATCAAGACAAAAATAGTGTGCTACGGGTGGACCCTGTGTTGTGTACTGCTACACATACTAGTCAATTGACCCTGCACGCCAGTCCTATCTATAGGCATATTCAACACATGTCATCTTGCCAATATGTTCTGACTTATGAAAAGGGAAGGTTTTTGGCATTGTTTGAGGAAAAATTGCACAAATACCCATCCCTGGATACGTTTAGTGCGCGTGCTGCCACAAAACCACTTGCAACATGGTAAGTAAGTTAGTAGTGATATTAAACTCTACATAATAATTGCAAACCCCCTTGCAACTTTCCCTCAACCTTATGAATAATAAAAGAAATAGTGCAATGACTTATGTTACTAAAAAAATGTAACTGTTACAGATGCGCATTATAGATTATAGCAGATGACTCGCAGGTATAATGGATCTAACTTGATAGTTGGCTAACTACATGTCAGGCGGCTCAGTCAGTGCTTATACATGGAATTCCTGTACATACACCGTTACACCTGTGCGGAAATTATGCTAGAAAGAATCCGATAAAAAAGATTCAATCTGAGAAATCGTAGCACTCGTGCGGTTCCGGTATTCCATGCAAGCTACGGGCATTTCAACATTTTAGGAAGCGACTTACGTTCAGCCCCAGCTGTAGCTCTTCCTCATCATTCTATCTTGGTTCTTCCACTTAGTCAAGTAAGCTTTAGCGTTCGGTAGAACCAGATCATTGCTAGAAGAACGACTATTCTACACCCGCACACTGTGTACAATGATTATGTAGATAGTACTGCGGCCTTTGCTAGCCTACACTGCAGACAGAGTAGATCTACAGTGTAGTTGTGGCGTTATGCCTATGCCAGGCTACAGTCAGGATCGACTCTACTAGCTCTGCAGTCTGTCAAGTGTCAGTCACAGTGGAGTCACAGGCAGCGCATGTCACGTGCAAGTGACATGAGGTTCGACATGGGACTTGTCTGTCAGTTGTCACCAGGAAATCGCGTCGATCGTATAAACAACTCCCTGGTTGTCACTCACTTGGAGAGACTGAGCCTGAGGAGTGAGGGATTATGGTCTCGATCATTCTAGAAAGCCCATCGACTGATTCGTCCATCCTGCATCCAAACCGGGCAAACGTCCGGCTAGCTGCATCGACTTTGCTATGAGTATGAGCCCTTTGCCTTGGTTTCATTCTACGTATGACATTGCCATAGAGCACTGTCTGTGTTAAATTACAGTGTACTACCACCCCTCATCTTTTTATCTTTTTATTTTTCTCCTCAGTTTCTTCTTCTTCATAAGCTGTTGACGGAGACTCCCTCGATTTAGGCTAAGGCCTGTGGAGAATCCATAAAATACAAAAACACCGGAGGGTGTACCCAGTGTGCTGACAGTGCTCAACACCATGGCGGAGGCAGAGCATAATACAGAACAGAACAACAAGGACAATCAAGTCAAGGCTTGTTTGCTGCGACTTGCAGTTTCATGCTCTCGCAATCATCATTGCCTGATGATGAGAGCATGAAACTTCAAGTCGCAGCAAACAAGCCTTGATTGTCCTTGTTGTTCTGCTCTGTAAATACAAATACAATACATTTTGAAAGGATTGGGAGAACTTCAAATTCAAAGGATCAGTTGGGGAAGTAAACTGCCTGAAAAGAGAAAAAATCGCCAGACCCACCAGCACCTTCTAGGTTCCGCCCGGTCCCATACTCCATAGCTCAGTGGTTAGAGCATTGCTCATGACAAGCAAGGTCCCGGGTTCGAGTCCTGGTGGGTCTGGCGATTTTTCTCCTTTCAGGCAGTTCACTTCCCCAACTGATTCTTTGAATTTGAAGTTCTCCCAATCCTTTCAAAATTTATCACTCTCTTTCACTTCTGGTAGGGTCCAGAAACTGACCGTGGTCCCCTGGCCTGCTGGCCTGCTGGCCTGCTGGCCTGCTGGGGGAGAAAGACCCAAGTGCCATCACTATGACTGTGTGGCACGTGTTGTGAGCTGCCTAGCCTTTGAGTGAAAGACTTGTCAGCGCAATCTAGGACTATGTTCAGCCCGGTTCCATAGCTCAGTGGTTAGAGCATTGCCCATGACAAGCAAGGTCCCGGGTTCGAGTCCTGGTGGGTCTGGCGATTTTTTCTTTTTTCAGGCAGTTCCCTTCCCCAACTGATCCTACAAATACAATACATCGTAGTAGGCATTCCCCAAATCGGCCCGTTTTTTCTCCGATTCGTCTTTGCACTAGGCTCAAAACTACAGTCAGATTCGGCTGCAAAATCAGCGGATTGTTCGAAAATCGGCTGCAAAATTGGAATATTGGAAAATCGGCTAAAAGTTGGCATATTGGCTTCAAAATTGCACTTCGCAACAACATTACATTTTGGTAGATTTTCGTCGATTCTCAAAGGAACCCTCCAAAACCTACCGTCCGTGTGTCATTGCCGCTGAGAGCATTCTGGCGGGTCGCTGCGGGTAACGCCTGGCCTTTCACTACAATTTAGTACAAAGGAGGGACGCGCTTTGGTGGTGCACACGAGGCACTAGTGAAATCTGCAAAGCGTGCCATCTTCGCCATCCTGGCAGGTGCGGAAGTGGTATATGAGGAATGGGGGTCTTCAATTACTGACTGCGCAGAGACGACGTTACTGAATTCACACTGACCACTTACATGTACCTACCCGTCTGCAGATTCCAACAGAAGGGTAGGTCTACTGACATTGTGCCACACAACCACCGTCATCGCTGGTAAGTTGTCGACTGAGACGTGAGAGAGAGTGAGATGAGAGCTTGGTCCTAGCTAGTAGGAGTATGGCTATGGAAGCGCTGGATGACACAGCTATTTTAAACGTATTATCACCACTTCTCCGCACTGGTGCAAAGTGGCGGCAACCGCAAGCAAACATCAATGTGAGCGATGTTGCGCTTGTTTTCCACCCAGGAACACCCAGAGGTAAATGGAAGCGGTGAGGAGTGGAGGAGAAGAGTGTAACAACAACAGAGCTGAGAGTGAATTGCGTCGGAGTGACTGCAAGTGGGTGCGTATCACACAGCATTGCTTTTGGCTACGCCACATTATCAAATAGTTTACATCATTGTACATGATATAACCTAACACTGGTTAAAAACCAGTATTAGATAAAACTTGTTATAGTTCACGCAATTGTTAGATTGACAGCATGAAACAAGGTGGAGGACACTGTGTTCGGAAACAGTGACCTTACTACAACCTTCCGCGGTTGGCAGAGCCCCCGGTCCCTGCGGACCATTTGAACCATATGGGTATCTTCCAACTTCTGCCCACACCAACCCCGTCTACAGAGAGCACCTTGCTGTCAACAGTTTTTTTGTCATGGTTATGACAAAAAAACTGTTGACAGCTGACGAGCTGAGAGAAGGACGCCATGGGCAGAAGTTGGAAGAAAAAAGAAAAAGAAAAAGAAGTTCTATACAAGTTCAAGAAAAGAGCGAAGAAAACAAGACGACATCAGGAGTAGTCTCCTAACACCCTAGCATAATGAGGGTCAGAACCGGGTGCGATACCCATATGGTTCAAATGGTCCGCAGGGACCGGGGCTCTGCCAACCGCGGAAGGTTGTATTAAGGTCACTGTTTCCGAACACAGTGTCCTCCACCTTGTTTCATGCTGTCAATCTAACAATCATTGTACATGTATGCGGCGATAGGTTGTATATCATTCTCAAGACTGACGGTGCACTACAATTGTTGCCTTTACTATGTTTTTGGCATTCGGTGTGAGGAACCGTAAATGACTATCACGTAGAGTTTCACTTTGTTTCATAAGTATGGTAAACGAGTCTCTTAGTGGCTAATTACTAGATATCTCTGTTTGTGTTTGTGTGTGTGTGTGTGTGTGTGTGTTTGTGTCTGGTGCTGGTATTGATCTGTTTCATTCCGAATCAGATTCGGTATCGTTGCTAAAAAGATAACATCTGTGGGTGCACATCCAGTGCATTTTGCAGATTTGCGTGCTTCTCTTGCGACGGGCGTAGACATGGTACATGGTGTGTGTGTGTGTGTGTGTGTGTGTGTGTGTGTGTGTGTGTGTGTGTGCGTTTGTGCGTGTGTCTGACTTGGACTGCTCTGGTCAGCGTCGACCGTGGCCGATACTAGAGAAGTTAAGATGCAGGTTATTTCTGACGTGACGCGAAAGTTCAGCTCGCGTTATTTGGCTCGCGTGTCGAAAAACAACGCGGGTCCGGGTGACCTGCAGCTCACGTCGAAATTTGGAGTTTCATGCCAATTTTGACGTGAAATTGCGCGTCACGTCGGAAATAACGTGTATCTTTTAAACCTCTCTATTGCTACTACATGGACATGGAAATCCGGTCGGAGGTCAAGGGGCCCCAGGGCTCTGGCCATGCAGCCATGCACACCCATACGATCAACACGTGCACCTCATGCAGTTACAATCTGTACGCACTGAGGGCGCCGGCCCCGGTCATTCGACCGGATTGCCATGTCCATGACAGTACTACCGGATTGCCATGTCCTGACTCCATGACAGTACTACCTGATTGCCATGTCCTGACTCCATGACAGTACTACCGGATTGCCATGTCCTGACTCCATGACAGTACTACCGGATTGCCATATGTCCTGACTCCATGACAGTACTACCGGATTGCCATGTCTTGACTCCATGACAGTACTACCGGTATGTCATGTACTACACGTAGTAGGTTTGCATTCAAGCTGAACATACCTGAACTGTCAAAGAAGTCACTAAGCGATTATTCCTGTGTTAGTGTTGTTGATGCTTGTGCGCTTAGACCATTATGCGGTGAGTGCTTAGCACCAAGACATGTGGCTTCTGGCCTTGGATTGGGAACAACCCACTTCTGGATGTCCTAAGGTATCGGATTACTGGTTGATATGTAGACCTAGCTGAGCTATCTCACCTCTCGATCCCAGGCGGTTTTCAGGCAGTTGAGACAGGTAACCCTTCCAGCAAGCAAATAATTATGTGTTCACGGATGCCTCAGAATGTGCTGATACTAGTGTTCTACCCAGCAGTACGCTTGTAAACACATAGGGCCACAGGCATAAACAGATCTAGCACTAGGTGCAGGCTGGCGCTGACGCTTTGTTTATTCCTGTCGCCCTAGGTCACGGTTTAGAAGCGTACTGCTGGGTAGAACTCCAGTCTCGGTTGTCTGATGATTGCCTCCAGACATGACACCCAGAGTTAGAACCAACCTGAACATCCTCCGTTGAGTCTGCCACAAGTACGTGAGATGTAAATACATGTACATGTATATAGAGAGAAATTTGACAAAGGCTTTACATAGTAGAGCAATGTGCACAGAGAAAGCAGAGAAGCCTACACGTGCGGCATGGTGCGGCTGCAAGAATGGTATATTCAGAGCGCTACAGACATATTATATTATTATACATATTGCACATGGATAATACTCATCATGGCGGCAACAAAATTCATGACCGGCCATGCAAGGGAAAATTTGTACGTAAGAGGACGACATCCCATTCAGCCATGCAACGTAATGAGAATGCAGGCACAGACTACAGATGCTAATGGATTTTACAAAAATTCATTATGCTGAAGATTTGTGGATTACGAAGATTACATGGATCCAAAAAATCTTCAAACCACACCTTGCAGTCAGCCTCTTAGCTGGGAACAACTTTTTTCATTATTGGTACCATCTTGGGTCATGATCTGCAATGGAAAGATTCAGAAACAGAACATACAAATTGGTGTCTCGGATCAAGCAGTAAGTTAATTCCGCCGGGAACATATTACTGTGATCAATTAGGCAACAATAAATGAAATGTACACAGTATGAACAAGATCCAATACTGCAAAGCAAACAGGGAGAAAATTAATTATCGTCACTACCATGCACCATTTGAAGGTTACAAATTTGCAAAGACCTGATACACACACACACACACACACACACACACACACACACACACACACACACACACACACACACACACACACAAAACACGGAATTGTAGACCAACTTGATTTTTGCTCTTTTCACCTCCCTAAACTGCACATTGCACCCGTCGAGATTGAAAATCATCAATCAAACCCCATCACTGGGACCTTTACTAGCTCAGTGACTGGGGCATCTCGTTACCCACTAAGCTCTTGTGGGACTGTCAAACTCAGTATCAAACCTGAAGCTATTCAATTTGAGAATCAGGCTTCAAAAGATGAATTCTGGAGCTCACCTTCGACCCTATGTAGTATTGTGCGTATGTTGCTTCACAATTCTTCAATGGAAACCTGAGGAAGATGCATATCCTCCTGTGGAAGAATGGAAATGGCAAATATGTGGATAAAATGTTGACACTTACAAGGGAACAGAGATATTGACAGGAGTAATGGGTTGGGGCAAAATGTTACGAGTTATGACAAAATGTCCACCAACGTAACCAGATCTCATACAGTCAGCGAGTGCGACAAAATGGCACACAACTGACAAGGAGTACTGAGACATTTGGCGACCTGACACCTAGCTCCAACACTTCTCCAAGGCGCGAACCAACAACCTTCCAACTGTCAGTTTTGTGCCATTTTGTCGCACTCGCTGACTGTATAATATCTGGTTACGTTGGTGGACAGTTTGTCATAACTCGTAACATGTTTTTCCTTTTCCTTTCTTCATCATAACAGTAATGGGTTAGTAAATGTTTTAAAGGCCTGCAGTATGAAGCATGGGTCTAGAGAAAAATTTCACTGCAATGTCTATCATTTTAAAAAGACTGTGCATGCAATGACTGCATTTTTCTTCAATTGTTGCCTTGTGAAACAATAGCCACAATGTGTCACTTTTCGTCTGATTATCAATTGAATTCCTGAAACTCAGAGTTACGGAGTTGAAACTGTTCGTCCTTCCGCTGTTTGTGTACTCACAATGTATAGTGAAATGTATGGAACCTTACCCCACCAAGCTTGAACAAGGGATTGGAGAACTCCAATCCACTCGGTGTAGATGTTTGCTCCTGGTCTGCTCCAGTGTACTTTACGTAGGCCTGAGATATCAGTGAGGTGGTGATGTGGGTACAGGAGAAGAACAGCACATCATGATGCATAAAACTGACTGATAACAGCACAGGATGCACAAGCTGAGTGTGAGCAACGCAAGTGCAATGACTGTCAGATGTCCGGGGGGAATTGTTGGACCCAGGAGGGAGGACTTCTCGCATGGGTAGCCCATTCAGAACACCTTTCATGGTTTTGACCTTAGTTATGCTCCCATATTTCTCGGTTAAAAATTGACCATACAGAGACCAAGAAAGGTTTTGCTTTATATTTCACACTAGATAGATGTCCGAAGGGCTGATCGTGCAGAGATCGCCGGGACTATGCACTGAAGGGCAGTTCTCGTAAACAAAAAAACTGGGTAGTTGAGGCTCGAAGAACAGTGGTGAACCTATAACCGGGATTGATTGAGAACCTCGAAATTCTGTAATTGTCTGTTCTTACCACTTTCTTTCAAAGCTTGCACCACTTAGTCACAGTTCCGCCATTAAATCATTGTAAAATCAAATGAGACAAGAATGAAACCAAAGTGAAGTATCTCGTAGCCGTAGTCGATAAACTGTGCTACAAATTCACCAAATTTGGAACGTTGCACCAGTGTGTTGCCAGTAAATTCAAGAAATTCAAGATCAAGAAATGAATGTTCTGAATATGGGTAACTGACCCAAAACGTCATAATTGTTTTCAACATCACAATAAAAGAATTTTCAATACAGCGCATGCGCAGATCGTGAATAGCAACTGAATAGAGCGGATGTCAGTTGACAAACCCCCTTTCCTTTCTAAGAAATGAATGACATACCATTTTATCTCCCGTTGACGGTGCAACGGCAGCTGCCCCATCCATGTCCTCTTCAGCAGCTTGGAAGATAGGGTTCACAATGAAGTGCCGGTCGCTATCAATGTTCTCAAATTCCATTTGGGCAGCCTAGTGAGAGACAGTGAGAGAATCAGCACAACAGTGCGGTGACAAGCGTCACATTTTGGAAGGATAACCAACGGCATGTGCGTGTATAATAAAATGAGAACAATTAGGAAGGTTTTTCATACACCCAGTGGAGGTGTTTTTTTTGTCGCAATTTCTGACTGTACATTATCCGGTTCAATTAACGGATTGTTACTCATAACTCATATCCTTCTCCTTGGAGAACAGCACATGCGGAGAAAATGGACAACTCGATTAGTAGTCAGGTTATGCAAACAATGACACAAACTGAATGGCCTAGCTTGATATCGCTCGCCAATTTGAAGGATATTTGGCTCGCTAGAAAACTCTAGAAAACACTGTTCAAAGTGAGAATTGGAACATTTGGCTGCAGGAGGTGTATCGTTTATCCTCTCTTCTAAGCGAAAAATCCAATACCTTCCCGTCGCTGTTCTGAAACGAAGTCTCTGCCTCCTGGAAGTCATATAGCCCGAAACCTTTGTTTTCAGCGACCATGTCATTGGGAATCACGTCTGCAGGAATCTTGAACATATCCTCGTCATACTCGAAATCTCCATCATCCCGATCCTTTAGGAAAACAGGAAAACATTGAAAAACCAGTTCATCGAGAGCATAATTGCATGTAATAACAACATAGTCAGCAGTAGTATTTTAAAAGGTGATTTGATTAAGTTCTATAGGTAAGGAAAAAATTGGAGGCGTATCCAATTTCGAAAGAAAAGGTGTCAGCACCGACGCAATCCACACAGTCAAGTAAGCCAATTTGGTAACCGAACGTTTTCGTTCCCTTCTCATCATGGTAAGTACAGGGAATAATGGAAAAATGTCAAAACACAGCAATTTATAGAGCTACAGCAAAAGCATAGATCGATAACCACACGCTATACGTGTGGAATCATTCAGCAGAACAGGTCGAACACAGGGTGAAGGTGAAGAAATGACTAAAACATAATACATCAGTGAGGAGAAGCACTCCTGACACTTTCGTTGTCGTGAGTTGTACACAGATGATGTTTTCTCAGTTTTGGCCCGTGGCAGATCTGTATTACATTTGTCTGTTTTGGAAGCATTATATTAAGAAGGAAAATGTTTTGTGACTTCAGTTGTTCGGTGCTAATCCTCGCGAAAGTGTCAGGAGTGCTTCTCCTCACTGATGCATTATGTTTTAGTCATTTGTTCACCTTCACCCTGTGTTTGACCTTGTTCTGCAGAATGAACTTTTTTCCACACGTATAGCGTGAGGTTATCGATCTATGCTTTTGCTGTAGCTCTATAAATTGCTGTATTTTGACATTTTTCCATTAATCCTATAGTTAACTTCCCTATTTAGGAAAAGAAAACCTTTGCAGTAAAGAAGATTTCCAATCATCCGGTTCAAGTTCAAGTTGTTAAATACTGTATGACAGATATCATATTTACACATACAGTCTGGAGGGACGAACAATGTGAAGCAATTCCGCATGGTGGTATATTACAATATGACCCGCGCTCTGCGAAAACCGACCTTAGGTGCTTCGTAATTTTTTCGAGAAAAAGAACAAAACGTCACGATCTGTCGATTTTTGAAGATTACAAGGTGAGAGTCATGGCGGAACGAAGCAGAAGACGGTCGCTAGCTCAAATTGCTGTGGGCTTCTCCCCAGAGGTTTTAGCCGAACTCCTTCACGATGAATAGTCATTTTTTTGGCCTGGTCCAATCGCAGTTCTGATGGCAGCAGTGCCGAGGAGAGTCGGATGTGGAATCGCAGGACGTAACGCTGATCGAGCTGGACGGTGATGTGGACTCGGGAGAATTTCGATCAGGCGTCGGTTCTGCCACCAGCCCAGCACCTCAATGCCGGCAATAAACAGAGCGCAGACCAAGAAAAATCGGTTCAAGTACTGTCTACAATCCAGGAGGCGCGTGTTAGTTTGACAAGCGCTAGTAGTGTAGGTGTTCCGCACTGGTGCTGTTTCAAGAGCGTGACCATGGTGACACTTGAAACCTTGCTTACACTTACAGCACACACAGCGCAGGTCCTGATCAAGACAGATCGCTGCTTGTGTGTAGGCGGAAAGCTAGACGTGCTCAGGAGACGTGGTGAGGCTACCCAGCGCGTCCAGTATGCTGGGAGATGTGATAGATGGGGCTCAACAATACTACTCTGAACTACTGAAGGACAGTCAGTGGCTGGTGTGGAAGTCATGTACATGCATGTCAGGAAGTCTTTGTGTGTGCCCCCAGGATCAAGCCCTGGGTGCTGAAATCTGTGCAGGCTGCTGTCAGTGCAAGTGAAATCAGCCCAACACAGGAATTGAATGAACTCTGGAATGCACTGCCTGTGGAAGATGTTGTGGAGCTGAAGCATTTTATAGAGCATTATGCTATGCTAGTATTATGCTATAGTTCATGGCCTCCGTTAACCTGCGCCTCCACATGGGCACAACAAGCCAGTACCAACCCACATGTATTTGCCCAGTATCACTACGAAGAAGCTTGTTCACCAGGCGTTCACAAAGCCTGGTGGCAAAGCTGCATACAGTACGTTTGGCAAGATTTGGAAAAGAGACTGCCATGATATCACCGATTATGAAACGATGTGTGCGGCTGATGTAGACATAACTAGATGTTCTAACTACCAGTACCAGATAAAACTATCAATATCCTTTAACCCGGCATTGATCCTAGCTTCTTCACTACTTTGCACCTGCCTCTACGCATCACTCCGGCTGGCATATCCTCAAACAGAGCCAAATACCTCTTCCACCAGATTCGTGAGCAACACCATCCACAGAACAGAGATAGAATGTGTCTATCTCCACAACAGGAAGATCCAATGCCATCATAAACCTTTCCTTTTGAGGATTATGACATACAGATTTATTCTGCAAAGTTTGGTTGCAATCATGCTGCTTGAATTCTCACAGCATTGGTTCCAAAATGTAGCATAAAATCCTGGATTTTTGCCATTTTTCCTCCAAAAATTGCAGGAAAAGTGCAAAGAAATTGTCATTGTATCTAACTGGATATGTATGCAATCCACCTAAAACTTCACCAGAAGTTGAAGAAAGGGTCATGGGTCAACAATCCAGCACAAACTCAATTTCGCCAAAATAGCACCTAAGGTCGGTTTTCGCAGAGCACTGGTCATATAGTAGTTACATAATTCCAGCGAGCAACATGGCAGAATAGTTCATGCACTGCCGTACACCGTCGTATTATGTACTTACCTCATCGAAATCACTGCCAGGCAAGACTTGTTTGGACAGCTGAAACAGAAAGATATACAGAGACCTTTACAGCTGAACTTGCTATGCAGTGTAGGGTTAAGGGGAAGCCGGGGACACAGATGAGGACGGACTCAAAAAAAGTTTCTTGGATAACCCGTTATTGAAGAATGTGCTGGTGGTGCTGGTGGTGGCGGCTGCGGCGGCAGTGGAGGTTATGCCGGGAGCAGTGGTGACGGCTAAGCTGTGCCGGGAGCTGTGACGGCGGGGGGGGGGGGGGGTATAGGCATGGGTGTTGTTGGAAATGGACTGGTAGCGTTTTGTGATGCCTGTAAAAAAATTTAAACATTGTTTTCTTTGCACACTCACCATACGAATAGTGGCGAGGCCATGTTCTTTCTCTTCAGACATTCCAGGTCCAGAGGGGTAGTTTGTCGTCATCATCTCTGCAAGAAGTTGAGAGTTTCAGGCATACAGTATTTAGAGGTACACTGAACATTTTAATCCTATAGCGAGGCAAACAGGATCAAAGCAAGACTGATGGGTACGGTAAGTTTTAAATCATCCAAGCACATCTTCCACAGTCTGGTGTGAGTGATAACGAGCAGGAATCACAATATAAAGTGAAGTTTTGAAAACTATACTAAAGCATCTGATCAGAACAAGACATTGGAAGCAGCTTTTGATGGCGCCCGACCATGCAATACTTCACTTTCATAATTTTGTGTATGATATGGCGGGTGCACATGTGACATGGCCTCGTCGGCAGTAAGCATGTGTTGGAGGACAAACGTTTCGTCCGGACACAACCTGACAGATCGCACTGGTTCCGCCGGGCCTACAATAATGACAGCCATCATTTAGTAGTTGGCAAAGTCACCTTGAACATTACCTGCCAGAGAGTCGTCAGTGTCATGCTGATGGTCATAGTTGTTCTTTGCGCTGAAGTAAAATAATGTGAAAACATTGACCATAAAACAGGGAAAGTGAACATCGTAATGATCAATTCTCTGAAGACCGACATGACACAGTGACCACGCCTACCAATATCATACATATTGAGGTGCACGGGTTTGTCTCTATCTTGAAATTGGAGAAAATTGATTTGCATGGAGCGTAATCACTACAAAAGACCATTGCCAGCCGCTGGCTATGCAACTCCATTGCCAGCCGCTGGCTATGCAACTCCATTGCCAGCCACTGGCTATGCAACTCCATTGCCAGCCACTGGCTATGCAACTCCATTGCCAGCCACTGGCTATGCAACTCCATTGCCAGCCACTGGCTATGCAACTCCATTGCCAGCCACTGGCTATGCAACTCCATTGCCAGCCACTGGCTATGCAACTCCATTGCCAGCCACTGGCTATGCAACTCCATTGCCAGCCACTGGCTATGCAACTCCATTGCCAGCCACTGGCTATGCAACTCCATTGCCAGCCACTGGCTATGCAACTCCATTGCCAGCCACTGGCTATGCAACTCTGTTGGTGTGTGTTGTGTTGTACGGGCGGAGCACAAAGACCACTACAGTAGTCAGTGTGTAAAGTAAGTCATGTAAGTATTCTCTTCTTACGTTTCCCACACCGCCTTCCTGCCTGGTCTCCTCCTGATCAGGATGATCACCACCATTAGCAGCACTATCACAGCCATACCACCAGCAGCAAGCCCGATGATAACAGTCTGTGTGAAGAAAGTCGATGACTGCGCAGCCAGACCCACTCCGCACATAACTTTGCTGATCTGTGACCAGCTTGTACCCGCATCGACGACTGGCAGTATGTCACTACCCGGTGTCAGCGGCTGTGCGAAGATCACTTCAAGGCTTGTCCTGTGCATAAAACATTCAGCAAGCACCTAGTGAATACCTGGCTCTCACAGAGCCGTAGCCGTAGCCGCTGTACCTACTAAAGTAGTACTAGTACCCACGCCGGTATGCTACATCTGCCGTAAGCTGCGCATTGCCAGCAACAACTTGCCATGTACATGTCCTGTAGCATGTCCGCCATGCTACATCTGCCGCAAGCATTGGCAGCAACATCTTGCCGGCATACACATGTCCTGTAGCATTTCTCAGTGCATGTTTTGGGCGCACTACTTTGTATCATGTTTGTGGCATGTCAATGAATGCTGCACAAGTACTACGTGCCTGTGGGAAATCATCTGGCCTGGCATATCTGTGTAAAATTCTGTAAGAATTCTGGCAGCATGCATGACTGAGGGCATGACTGAGGGCATGACTGAGGGCATGACTGAGGGCATGACTGAGGGCATGACTTAGGGCCATGCATGACTGAGGGCATGACTGAGGGCATGACTGAGGGCATGACTGAGGGCATGACTGAGGGCATGACTGAGGGCATGACTGAGGACATGACTGAGGGCATGACTGAGGGCATGACTGAGGGCATGACTGAGGGCATGACTGAGGGCATGACTGAGGGCATGACTGAGGGCATGACTGAGGGCATGACTGAGGGCATGACTGAGGGCATGACTGAGGGCTGACTGAGGGCATGACTGAGGGCATGACTGAGGGCATGACTGAGGGCATGACTGAGGGCATGACTGAGGGCATGACTGAGGGCTGACTGAGGGCGCAAACACAAATACCGGTAAGCAGGAGTGGTCTAAAGTAAAAGAGTAAATCATCGCGTCCGTTCCCGAACTCGGAGTGGTATATCTTACCCATTATCGACGTGGCTGGCCTTGTACACAAAAGCAAAGAAATCGCTGGATCGGTTTGTAAGCTCCAGTACAGCTGACTTCACTCTTTGAGCAGTGTAAATATCGATAGGAATCAGGCATGGCAGAGTTACTTCACTTATAGCTGACTTCGGATACATGACAATGTTCACGGTTGCAGTTGACGACAACGAAGGATGGCCAGCATCTTGCGCCAGCACAGTGGTCCAATAGCGCCTGAACACCTCCAATGTCTCGTTTGTGGACATATTGCCAGAGTGTGCTGCAATGTCAAAATCACCGCCTGTTCCCTGGGCCTGAATGCTGTAGGATATCTGGGCATTCGAGCCCGAGTCGGCATCATTCGCTGTCACCACAGTGATCTGTCGTGGACGTTCCTCTTCTTCAGTAGTGGCTTCTAGCACAATAGCATATTGTATTTTCTGTGCAAATTCCGGCGTGTTGTCATTCTCATCGAGCACCTGGATTCTGATATCAAACAAAGTGGAAGAGTTCAGTATGTCAACATCCATTTCCAGTGGCAGGGAAACTGTCGGAGTCTTCTCTCGATCCAGCTCCACAGACGATGTCGCTAAAACTTCACCCAACGGGCCATCCAGTCGGAAATACTGGGCAGCTGCAACGGAGGGTGAAGGAAATGAGAATTTGCTTTGTATTGTTAGAGGAATGCCTCCAAGCTCAACAATGTCGGAAGTATTGAGTAAGTGCGTGTCTCCGACCGTGTTTTCTGGAACTGCAAGGTCATATCGGACAGGCACAGGCCCAACAGTTGTTGTATCGGAAGGATCTACAAATGTCACCACCAATCTTTGAAAGCTGAACAGAGGCGTGACACCGTTATCAATTGCCTGTAGCAATAGGTAGTAAGAAATCGGTCTTGTATCGGGTAAACTGTTCATGAGGAATAGCTCTCCGCCGGTTGTGAACTCAAAGAGATCAAATGCATCCACAACCAAGTGAAACTCAATCGCTGCAGCATGCAACAGGTCGGCATCAGAAGCTTTTGCTTGGTAGATCGTCTGATTGAGTGCCCATGAGCGCTGCACGATATGCACATATTCAGTGTGGAACATTGGCCTGTTGTCATTGACGTCAACCAGAACGATAGCCACTGTGCATTTAGATGAACGCCGTTCTGTAGGTGCGGGAGCTTGATCGGTAGCGATAACATGGAGCATTAGACCGAGCGGGTGTCTTTCTCTATCTAGTGGCTGTACCACTGATATATCACCACTGTAGGGCTGTATTTCAAAATACTGCGATGCCAAACTGGGGTGAATGCTGTAGCGGACAACGCCCGACGGACCAACATCACTATCACTTGCGACAACCTGGAACACCGTGCTGCCGACGCTGGTGTTCTCCAGCACATCAATGGTGTACGCCACCTGTGGGAACTGCGGTGTGAAATCATTGCGAGCATTGACGTTGAGAACTAGTCTGGAGTGGTTAGCAGACAGCGGAGGAGAGCCTTCATCCACGGCAAGTAGTTCATATGTGACTTGTGATACACTCAGCCAGGAAATATTACTTGTTAGTGTAAGTGTGCCATCAACTGGATTCATTGACAGGGGATTTTGCTTCCACTGGAGCTCTTCCGAGTCTGAGAAATTTGACACAGAGACATACTCTACTTCCACTGCTGTAACATTCTCATTGTCCTCCCAAACTGGAAAACTATAGTCTACAATAGCCAGGCTGTACTGGATCGTACCATTGCTGCCATAATCCGGATCGGTGGCATTGATTTCTGCAAGCACGGTATCCGGATCGGTGCCCTCCAGGATGCTTATTACCCACTGGTCTTGTACAAATTTAGGTCTGTTGTCGTTACTATCCAGCACATCCACTATGACCTCTGTTGTTGTGGACAGAGGCTTTCGTGGTGCTGGCACATCCACTCCAGTGATTGTCACCGAACAGTGATATGATGTAGTGGATTCTCGATCCAACGACTGGTCCAGTACAATGTCACCAGTGGCATCGTCGAAGTGGAATGGTAGCTGTGATGCATTCTGCCCACTTACACTGTATGAGAAAAGTCCATTGGCAAACTCTTCTGTACTGCATGGTAAAACACGTCCCACAGGAACCCCGATGAGCGATGCCTCAGAGATATAGCGTACGGTTGGGCTCGTACGGTTGCATCTATAGCCCCAAGCGGAAAGGGAACTGTCGCAGAGACATTCGTACATGGCCACAAGGTTCACACAAGTGCTGCCGGGCGCACAGGGGTCTGATAAACATTCATCAATGTCCTCCTCGCACTGTGCCCCGCTGAAACCAATGGAGCAAATACATGCGTAGTCTCTCCTCAGTGTGTTACAGTAGGCACCGTTGTAGCAGAGTCTTGACGCAAGGCTGCTGTCGCAGTCACATGCATCGCCGTTTCCGTCTCCATCGCTGTCCGTTTGGAGCGTGTTCTTCTGTCGTACGCAGTTGTCAATTATGTCTGGGATGCCATCATGGTCGGTGTCCGCTGCAGGGAACAATACAAGGGAAGAGTACAAATTATGTCATCACTCCCGTCACGTGATCATGTGTCCACTTACACAACTGACGGCCGCATACTCAGCTACAGTGAACGTGATTATCCCGAGGCTGCCCATGCCACATAGTGGAGAGGTGGTCCATCGTAAAAGTTTGAGAAGTGCGTTATGCAATGGGCAAATTTACTTTTCATAAATTCGACCTACCAGGCCTGTAATCTCAGTAGTTGAGGGAAAAGAACAGTAGTACTTAGTAGTACTCACCAATACAGTCAGTTATTGCTTTGCTGCCCGTCGTGAGAGTAGCAGTACCATCTGGACACCATGTGCAGTTACTCTGCCTGGAATGTGCTTGGTATGATCCTCGCGAACAGGGATGACACGGCTCCAGGCCAGTCTTGGACAGTGACTTCGAGCCCGCCTGGCACACAACTGCAGAGACGGAGAGGCAATGCGATTTCTGTCAGTGACAACATTTATTTGGGCATTTGATGCCGTCTCCCCTCCCTTCTCACACATCAGTAATGCAAGCTCAAATCCGTTGATCTCCGAGCTGCAGACAGCGCTCAATGTCAAAGACAAAGCTTAGAACACAGCAGACTCATTGAGTGTTCTCCGCTGAATCTGCTATGTAATCCGAACTCTATAGGGGGTATGAAGGGGGGGGGGAGGGGGGGGGGGGGCAGTACCATACCATTCGGAGGGATTTTGAAGCACGCAGAATATTAGGATTGAAGTCTACTTGAAGCAATATAATTATTATTCGTACTAGATAACTTACAGAGACATTGTGTGAGATTGTCAGCTCCAGAATCGATGGTGACCTTCTGAGCAGGACATGGCACACACTTGCTACTGCCATACTCATTCTGGTAGGTGGATTGTGGACATTGAACACAGGGCAGTGCTCCGTTTGCACTGATAGTACCTGGACGGCAACGGTTTGTGAAGTTCAACTGTATAAGGAGTGATAGTGAAGAGCTTAGTGATGGCATACCGTGATCCTTGGCCGTGATATTCACTTGACATGACGAGGAGGTGTTCCAGGGCATAAGTGGCCGGCTGTTGCTAACTCTTCCATTGCCTGCAGTGATGGTCACCCAGCTGCAGTTTGCTTGCGCTGCTTCAATATAGTACGAGATGTCACCATTCGAGCCAAGATCCGCATCAGTAGCAATCACCGAGAGCAAATTGGCATTGGCTTTGCTCACAGTGTCCTCTTGAAGCATGGCGGTGACAGCGGAAGCAACAAATTCAGGCCTATGATCATTCTTTGGCTCGATAGTGATGGTTGCGTTTCGAGGCTTGCTGATTGTTGCTCCTCCGGTGGCCCTCAGTAGAGACACTAGGAAAGTTTCATTCAGTTCTGGTGTGGTGTCATTCACAATATAGACCTTCAGCTTTACACTGGATTGATTCTCAGCAAAGATCACATCGGACGAAGTTGGAATGAAGTCGACACTGGAGTTCAGTGTCCCACTCTTCGCACTCATTATCATGGATAGCAAATCCCTGGTAGACAAGGTTTGGGTGTTGGATAAGCCTGATGCGGAGATGCCCATTGTATCCCAGAACAATTGCACCGTTCCGAACAAGCCTCGACTGCGCAAAACATCGACTACAGCATACTCCGTAGCGCCTTCCTTTACCGTGTAATTACTGGTGCCAATCTTTATCACGCCGTGTGGGTCATCGTTTTCCAGAATAACAATTTGCATGACGGTGACTTCACCCAGTGTGACATTCTCGGTTTTCTGCAGAACTATGAAAAGAGTTTCATTCAATTCAGGAACATTGTCATCAAGTATGTCCACGAATATACTTGCTCTCGTTTGGTCCGGTCCAAAGTCAATAGTCAATGCCGACACAATGTAGTCAGTTGAGTTGGCAGCAGCAACTGATGGAGAAGTACTTGGGTACTGTTGGTAGCGTATGCTGAGGTGGACCCTAGTTGCTTGGGAGGGATCACATCGCCGAAGCACTGTTAGATAGATTTTGCCGCTTTCCTCTGTCGCCAGTAGAGTCGTTTCATTGTGATCAAACTCGACAATGCCACTGGGAATTCTCTCCTTGATGACAAGAATGGACACGCTGGGCTGGTCGATCTTTCCAAACTCACCAGCTGACACTAAGCTGGCAATTACAAGCCCAGTGCTACTATTCGGTGCCAGTATGGGGATTTTCAGTGATGAGTTCCATTGTCCTTCAGCCACTGGAATCACATCGGTTCTGTACACAGCCGGTTGAAGATAGCCATTCTTTGTCTCCACCTGGAGAGTAACATTCACTGAGCTGTATGCACCTCTCCGGCGCTCAAAGGACAGTTCAGTTGTGTTTGTGTCCGCAACACTTAAGCAAATTTCTGAATCCGTCATTCCGAAGACGCCATACTGATCAGCATAGCTGAAGAACATTGCGAACTGCTGCGGACAGAGAATCTCGTCCACTTTAGCCACAGCAGTTCTCTGCCTTCTGTTTATGTCCATCCATGTAGAATTGGTAGAATTGCATGAACTGCACGTGGGCAGCCACTCTCCTGATGCAGGGTCCCACTTCATGATCTGTATATCTATCTCATCTGATGATATGAGTGGGTCGGTGACTTCGGAATTGACTTCTAGCATAGGCAAGGCCCGGTAGAGCACGTAGACCTCTGAATAGTTCTGCCGTATTTCCAAAGGCGTAGTGATGACACTCCCACCGTCATCTAAAACGTTCACTTCAAAAGAGTAGTTCGCATTCATCAAACCCTAGTGCGCACACAGACACAAACACACAGCCACAAACACACACACACACACACACACACACACACACACACACACACGAACACACACACACACACATAAAGTGAATTTTTCTAAGAAGATACCCTCGATCCATTCCTATTTCTAACTGTTGTAAGTGACCCACCCAGTGCCCGCCATTGTACCATAATATGTTATGTCATCCGTTTTGGTAACCACACTACTCTGATGTGTTCTAGCAGCTCGTCTGCCAACTTCGCTACCTTCATACAAAGCGACATGAACTCGCCAATAACATGGATGCAACCTTGCAAGCTAAGACCTAATGTCACCCAAACCAAGGCAATCATGTGGCTCTACTTTACAGCCCAATCTTCTCCATCTCCTCTCACCCAGCCGCGAACATCTTGGGGATATTATCCACAGCCAGCGTTCCTGGTCTCCATAGGTCATAATATATTTCGCCTATCATGTATTAAATTATTGTGAAACAGCAGGTGTGGACTATTCCAGGCTCTGCTTCAAATTCTGCAAGTACACTAGCGACTGCTGCTAAAAAAATCTGTTTAGCATGGATCGAGTCATCTTCCCAGTTTCTCGATTGTATACCTTTAGCTTTATACCTTAATGCCGGATAGCTTGCATAGACCTCGGTCCTACCGGTAGGACCAACCGGTAGGACCATCATACACAGACATGCTGCATGGCCTCTGTTCTAACATTGACCTAAAACTTGACCCTAAACTGTTGCTAAGGGGCTAATGAAGGAGTCCACACATTTTAGACGTGATCGCACAAGGCATACTACGAAATTCCATGGTAACAGCCCATGGAAACCATGGAAATGGAGTATGGAATTACGTATTCCACTACCTTGGCAAGCTAATAAAAACATTAGGACCTCACCACAATTGATATGCCATGGTCAAAATTCACTTTGGACAGAGTTGCTAGCGCACCGACAGGATTATGTGTGGCCATTTTGACATTCGATAAAATTGCGCATACGCAATGCACTGGACATAGCCTTGCATTTTGCGCCATTACTTTGCCTGACAAAGACCTCATCTCAACAATTGTTTCAAGAAATTTCTCAACCAAAAGCACTTTTGCAGCTCGATTTCTTGGGTCCCACCGGTAGGACCCGTGGTCCTTCCGGTAGGACGGTATGCAAGCTATCATTAAGAGCAATACCAACAACAACAAAAAACAGCCATCTAGGTCTGCCCTGCCAGCTAGCTCTACTGAGGTCAAGGACTGCAAGCATCATTTTTTTGTCACAAGGTACGTCATTCCAGTATAGCTTCCCCTTGCAGTGTTCTTTCTCTCTTATTTTTGGCTTGCTGTGGTTAGCTACCGCTTGACTTTTCATCTTTATTTACGTCTCTTTTGATGAGCTAGATATTGAAAAATTAGAAGAATTAAAAAATTAATATATTGCTACTCCCTCTCCCCTCCCCCGCCCCACTCCATCTCCCCATCTACTTATTCCGAATGAGGAGTGTACTGGCAGCAATAAACAATACCTGCAAGGTACACATCATACCTTAGGAACAGTCAGAGCTGGATTTGCGTATTGCTGGGACACAGATCGGCGGCCTCGTGATGGAACTGGTTGTGGATAGTCGCTATCTCCAAGAAGCCTAGACGTCGCTGACATATTTCCGGTATAGTTGACTGGGCTGAACTTGTAAGAACCAACCTGACCGGTTTGATTGACCAACATGTCATCGTCATCTGTTTCATTGGATCGGTCGTACCCAGCACTCTGAGAGAGGTCAGTGGACTGGAAGAACAGGAATGTTGATTTATTGAACGAAGGAGAGATTTTAGTGAGGGTCTCGCCAACGGTGAAGCCATTAGATGACATATTCGTTGTTAGACCGACATGGTTCACGGCAGTGATTGTAACATAGTAGGTTGCATTGCCATACAGTTTTACATTTGCCACAATATACTGGTCAGTATCACCAATCTGCACATCATCTGCAATGTCACTTGCACCCGGTGCAGTGCCTACAGAAATGTTATAGTAGTCGATTCCACTCTCTTGGTCTTCGCCATGCCAGTTTGTCATTACGGCATCCGTGAAAACTACTCGATCTTGGTCGGGCGGAAAGTAGCCATCGTTCACGTAGCTGATAATAGGAGGCGATAGGTCAACCTGAAATCCATCGGAGCTTGCATTGATTGAGATGTTGGCCTGGTTATACGCGACTACAGTCGCATAGTATTTCTGGCCGTGAACCACATTGCACCCAACACACCCCATTGCCAACGAGGTGCTGTTCGTCGGTGCCAATGGAGAGAAATCACAAGCGCCTACAGTTGTTCCTACACACCAGTAGTAGTCACGCATTCCACTCTCTGGATCGTCGAAGCCACCAAATGTACAGCCAAGATCAAACTTTGCCACGTTCAAGAAATCTGCATCACTACCGTCGACACCATCAAGCACAGTGCCACGCATTGGTGGCGTCAGATCAAGCTCAAACGTTGCAGATGTAGCTGAGATGTTTCTTCCCGAATCACTGCTCGCATGCACTTGCAGTATGTAGGTTTCTGCCTGTTGCAGGCCAGATCCACTTGGGATATCAATAACAGTGTTAATTCGTTCCTGACCTAGCTCCAAGCAAGTAGCTGTTGCATCACAGTTCCGACAGTCATCCATTACTCCGCCACTGGACAGTGCACCACCCAGACATGTATTGCACTGCACGGGAAGCTTGCGCGCGTCAGATGAAAAGTACCGTGTGCTGTTCTGATCGCAGAAGGGTGAGATGTAGACCGTGCCATTCTGTGTTGAAACAGCTAGTAGCTGATTAGCCATGGAGATCGCACCCTCCCCAGAGACGGTGTCATCATCAAACGAACTCTGCAGCACACCAATTGAGGTGCACGTCAGTTGATTGTCAGTTGCCGTGACACTCACCATAGCAACTTGAGCACTAGAGTATGCAATTGCCAGTACACCACCCGTAGAGCTTGGTTGCCAGGACAATGACCGACCAAAGTTTGGTCGACCATGGCTGCCAGTGAGAGAGCATTGTGGTACTGTGTCTCGCTTTGTTCCATTGAACCCTGGCAACATAAATACGTCAACAGTACTGGTTTCGTTAACCTGCGCTCTGTTGGGTTGTGACGATACTGCAACATACACCTCGCCTCGCAGTGGCAAGAGCCGCATTGCTGACACAGGATTTGTTGGGATCTGCTCTTGCAGTGATAGTTCGCCCAATGAGCTTCTCATGTAAACAGTGATATTGGAGAGGCCTTCTTGTGCCACAACAACTACATCATCAGCGGCATCTAACAGTACCGGAGCAGTGTTTGGGAGAGAAGGCAGGCATTGGTCAAGTGAAAAGACACCATCAGTATCTATCACACACGGTAAAAGACTGCCATTGCTAAGCTCAACAACCATTATGAAATAGTTCGCCGAGGCAGCCAAAGACGCAGCGAATGCAGCAGATTCTGGCACGGTTGCAACTGAAAAGGAGAGCAGAATTTCTGGAGCGTCAGTTGAGGTGTTGAATGATAGCCATACCACGGTGTCATGATTAGCTGCAACAATGCTATTGTGATGGGCTTTGGAGATCCAAGCAGAAGCATTATGTTGTGCTGATGATGATGACTTCTTCCTATACAGCACCTTCGATGGGCTGTCTGAATGAATCACTATACACTGACTTGATGAGCCGATAACTATGAATCCCGTCGATGATATCGACACAGACATAGGCCCTTTGTTGTCCTCCGGCAGGTTCAGCTTCATTGAAAAGAGCGAACTATCTTTGAAGAGACGTGATCGAGTACAGCATGGTGACAAGGATGTCTCATAAGTGCCCAATGACAGATTCTGAGCGGCATAAACGTCACTCAGATTGAAAGCGGTTTGAGACGATGAGGAGTTGTACGTTACATTTGCTGGTGGCGTACTGGAAAGTGATGTGTTGCTGGGGACTCCACTTGGAAGGGAAACATTTGGTAGTGGTATACTGGAAGAAGATGTGTTTGCTAACTGCACACTTGGAACAGAGAGATGGTAGTAGGTCTTGGGGTCAAGCGAGTCGACAGTGATATTTAAATCAGCCTGAGTCGATGAGTTGGCCTCCGTTTGATTACGAATCAGGGAAATAGAGGAAGATAATCTCCATGGATTGCTGACATAAGCGGTACCGTAAATGTCACTGCCGGACCAAGTCTCCACAGAGAACTGAGGGCTTGCTGTTTCTACAATAAAGCCATCTGATCGAGACTCAACAAACCTCTTAGCACCATTGTAACCTCTGATAACAACACTGTACTTTCTTCCCCCGACGAGCACATTGGATGACGCTACGAAACTTGTGTTGGTGCCAACATTGTTGAACGTCTGGACCAAGACAGGTGGGCTCCATGCTGATCCATCTTCACTCTGTCGCTGCTCTTCCACACCATACTCATAATGATCTATTCCACTCTCCGCATCCACAAATGCCAGCCAGCTTGCTGATAACACAGATGTATCCACTTGATAATCGATGTCGTCCATAGGATCAGAAGACATTCCGTCAGCCACATACGCGCCGATCGGTATTGTTCGGTCCACAGTTACCCCGTTTGAAGTTACAGTTGACGTGAGACCAGCTACGTTGTGCGCAGTGATCGAAGTGTAGTATATCTGCCCATGGCCGAGCTGCAATCCAGATGCGATGGCTTCGCTCGCCTTGCCGACGGATGTCAGGGGTAATATGTTGCCAGCCAGTGGGGTTGTTCCAATTGTCCATCTGTACTCTACAATATCGGACGCATTATCAGAGAAGCCGGACCACGATGCAGATAACTCTGACGCACTATATTGATAATCAATGTCCTGTCGTTTCAGGTTTCCATCAGACACCTGACCAGGAGTTGGTGGTTTGGTGACTACGCCAATGCCATCTGTGAACACGCTAGTTGATACTCCAGCAGAATTTGTTGCAGTCACTTCTATGACATACTGTGTGCCTGATGATAAAGGAAATGACAGAGTGGCTGATGTTGCAAACCTGTCGAAAACAGTTATGCAAGTCAAGGACTCGTTGTCATTGCTTTCTTCATGAGCACACACATCGAACGTTTCAATCAGGCTTTCACTCTCCTTGATATTCCAGTTAACTGACAGTTCTGACTCATTGGTTTGATACATTGCATCAACACCCAACACTGAGCCATCGTAGACGAAAGATACATCCGGTGGCGTTGAGTCCACTGTAACTGATGCCATTGATGTCGTTTCACTGTGTAGGCCAGCACCGTTGTAAGCTCGGATGACAACGATATATGTTTCGCCATCCTTCAGGCTGGCTGAGCTGCTGGCGTTTGTGTGAGTTCCAACATTGACAAACTCTTGTGGACAAACTGGAGATGAAATTGCACATACCTTGAACATATAGTATGCAATAGAGCTCTCTGGATCACTGAACCCCGTCCACCTAGCTGAGATCTGTGTCAAATCCGACTGATATCCTTGCGATGAATCCAGCCATACCAAGCCTGCATTTGGTGGGCTTTCGTCAATTACGATCCCATTACTTGACAGTTGACTGGAAATGTGCGCTTTGTTCCAGGCACGTATTGTGGAGTATACACGAACTCCTGCTGTTAGCTGGCACGGTAATGTAGTTTCTAGAGACAGACCAGCATCAGTCCAGTCATGTATATCTGCCAATCCAGGCACAGTGCCCACTGCCATGTCATAGTGATCAATACTGCTGATGTTGTCCGAGAAGAGAGCCCATGATGCAGATACAGACAGTGCGTTGCTGCTGTACTGTTCATCCTGATCGGTCAAGCCATCCAGGACGATTCCAATTCGTGGTGGAGTTTTGTCAATAACAATGACATTCGACAGCACACTGCTATTCAATCCTGCGCCATTCTCTGCTCTTACTGTTACATAATAGTGCTGTCCCTCTTTCAGTTGCTGAGATTCATAGCTAGCAGTTGTACTATTGACATCAACCGGTGTGCAGGACATGATGTCATCATGACTCATCAATGATGTTCCAATGCACCATGTTTGCTGAGCGATGCCACTTTGAGTGTCTTTGAAACCTGTCCAAGAACCGTCCACTGTCGATGTACTCACATACGTGACGGGTTGAGTTGTTACACTTACGGTGTTAGTCACCACATCAGGAGGTGTCCAGTCAAATATTGTACAATCTGAAGTAGTGATTGTTGTGAGGCCTGCCCCATTGCTTACTCTGACCTTGGCATAGTAGCAAATTCCAGAGAGAATGTACCCATTGTTTGATGTAGCATTGTTCCGTAGTTTCACATCCACAAAGTCTTGGATACAGGTTTCACCTGCTGGCCCAATTGAACAAATTGCCCACTCATTCTTGATAATACCACTGACTGCATCTGCTGCCTGCCAATGAGCGGAGAAAGTGGATTTCTGGTTTGTAAATTGACTGTATTTGCCTAATCTGATGTCTCCGGCTCGTACATAACTGAACACTGGAGCAGTGTTGTCAACCCTTACACCATCCGTTGTCATCAGCTTACTCTCCCCAGCACCATTGATAGCACGCACCGATACGAACAGTTGAGTATTTGCCGTCAGCGTCCATAGCATCCCGCCAGCAGAGGTGTTCAATCCTACGCTGGTGAATGGCAGTAAATCATGGAATCCCGGTGATGATCCAACCGCCCATTCGTACTGCAGAATGCCACTCTCGCGGTCGGTACACGAATCCCATGATGCAGAGACAAAATCAGATGAACTCTGATAGTCCACGTCTGTTGGCAGGCGGCCATCTCGTACAGCTGAGCATAGCGGCTTAGTGGTATCCACCTGAACGCCATCCGAATGTGCCACTGTGAATAGATTGGCCCTGTTAGTTGCTCTGATTGAAACAAAGTAGACGCCGGTCTGTTGCAGACTTAGACCAGACGCGCTTGCTTTCAGGTCTGTGCCATTCAGCTTGCTCCAATGAAGAATATCACATGTTCTTAGGCTTGTGCCAATGCACCAGTCATATCTTAAAATGCCACTCTCTCCGTCAGTAAAGCTTGTCCAGCTCGCGGAGATGATAGACAATGATGTTTGGTAGGTCAAATCACTTAGTCCAGAGCCGTCTCTTACAGTTCCAGGCACAGGCGGCGTGGAATCAAATGTGATTGGTTGTGAGACTTTAGTCGTTTGAAGACCGGCATTATTTGTAGCTCTCACAACTACCACATAGCATTGGCCATCAACAAGACGAAGGCTGGGGTTTGTTGCGTTCGTCGCTCTCCCAACTGATGTTAAATTCTGAAGACAGTTGCTGTGATCTGCACTCAGGCACAGGGACCATGCATATGTAAGGATTTGCGACTGGTTATCATGGAAGAGCCATTTTGCTGTGATTTGAGTACTACGGGAGTATTCCACATGATCAACACCATCTTCTGTTGCAATGATAGTCGACATCTCTGGTGGGCTAGTGTCAATGATGATACCATCAGTAGTTAGCTGGGATGAGAGTCCAGCATCATTTGTTGCCTTCACCGTCACAAAGTACTTGTATCCCTCTATCACCATCGGCTGATGAAAGGTGACTGAGGTTTCCAAGAGGACGTTTTTGTATGGCAGGATGTCACATTTGCCAGCTGCTGTTCCTAGGCATGCTTCGTACAACTTGATATTGGTCTCATCATCCGTGAATTCCGTCCACGAAGCTGCTACGTAATGGTCGTCTGATTGATAATCGATGTCAGTATCGCCAAGACCATCCCACACGATGCCCACAACCGGCGGTGTACCATCGACAACTAAGCCATCAGAGAAGGACTGACTAGTGAGCCCGGCATTGTCCTTGGCTTCAACCGTTGCATACACTGTTTGACCCTGGAATGTAGCCAGAGGAGGAGTGGATGCTGTGCTTGCTATGGTTGCATCGGTCCAATTGGTAACATCACACATGCTAGCTCCACTTCCCAAGCACCACCGGTAATCTGCTATTCCGCTTTGAAGATCCTGGAAGCCGCCCCATGCCAGACTGAATGTGCTGCCAGCTCGCCTCAGATACACCACTCCGGTCTGCGGTGGACTGTCGTCAACAATGATGGAGTTGACTGATGATGCTACAGCTGATAGTTGGGCTTCGTCAAACACTGTCACTGTTGCATACATGGGTGAGTTCTGCTCAGTGACCAGACGACCTGGAATGAGGAAATCAAATCTGTTGCCGATGTTAGTTTTTGCCAGAACATTCTCACCTCCCTGGTATGTTCCTAGTGATACAATCGAATGAGAAATTGAACTCTGGTTGTCAGAAGCCACCCAGGAGAGTTTTACCTCTGTGTCTGACGGTACAAACTGACTCGAGCTCAGTTTAATTTCTCCAATACCGGGTGGTGACAAGTCTACGGTTACTCCATCCGACGAGGAACACTTCCGTTGACTGATTTTATTCACCGCACAAACTGTGGCGTAGATGGTCTGACCATCGGAGAAATTCAAGCCATGGACGTCACCCGCTGAAAGGCGCTGTCCCACATCTCGGAACACAAATATATCAGTTTTGTTAGGCTTGGATCCCAGAGCCCATTCGTACCGATCAATACCATGCGTGGGATCTTGAAAACCAGTCCAGCTGCACCAAGCAGCAGATCCCACTGTCTGGTAGTCAATATCATCAGTGTTGGGTCCATCGTTCACCACACCTGCAATGAAGATACCAAACGATGCTGTAATCAAATCTGAGGACATGTAGGATGAGAGACCAGCTCCGTTTGTTGCACGTACAACAACACGATACATGGCTTTGTTCGAAACTGAGATTCTCTTGACGATGTCTCTGTTTGGCAACACACCAGTCGACAGTCGTAGAACATTATGATAGGCGAGTGAGCTGAACTGACTTGTACTGATGTTCACTGAAACCACGGCCAGACCGATAGCATCCAAGTCGGTTTCAGGATCGACAATGCCGAACCATCGTGCAGAGAAGTCCACAATGGTCGTTGATGAACCGGTTATAACTGTCGGGTAGATGATTGCTGTGGTTATCTTTCCCTGTAGCACAGGTGGAGTTGCATCAGTAGTTACCCGTGTTCCATGAAGGCTCTTCAAACCTACTTTGTCCTGCACTGTCAAGGTGAGATAATACTGCTTATTGGCTTGTATGGTGAAGTTCAATGCCGCGGACGAGATGCTAGTGACATTACCAAGCTGTGTGTTTGGTAAGATGTCGTCACCGTTGTGCTGCAAGCCGACTTTAATGCTGAAATTCAACACACCACTGCCAATGTCCGTAGCTGACCAAACGCCCGTCATTACGTTTTCCGACTTGTTGTAGACGAAGTTGGCACTAGTTATTGTCGGTGCAGTGTTGTCCACTGTGACACCATTAGTACTGTGGATACTGCTTAAGCCAGCATGATTTGTCACTGATAGCGTTACACTGTACTTCTTACCAGACTCAAGAAGATAACCGCTCAGCAAAGAAACATTGTGTGCCCTGCCGAGAAGGTGGAGATGTGTAGTCGGCGTCGAACGCTTCGTTGACAGGATTCCAGATTCAGGATCAGAGCATTTCCAGTTCACTCCCAAGTTGGATGTTGCCATTTGATAGGCTATATCCTGGCCGTACACTACACCATCGTAGACATACACACACTGCGGAGGTGTTGTGTCGACGAGCACACCATTCGTTGACAGTGACACGGTGAGATTGGCCTTGTTTGTTGCAAACACGGAAACATAGTACGTTGAGCCCTGCAGGAAAGAGCCAGGAATGGAAGCCGTAGTTGCTGTACTTGGGATGTTGAAGAATGGAATAACATCAGCTAAACCAACACCACTGCCAACACCCACGCTCAGCGACTGCAGTCCACTCTGTATGTCAATTATACTCCACTTGGCATCCATGTGGGTATTGTTGGAGGTAAAGTTGAGATCCACCTGGCGTTTGTTACCGTCATTGATGAACTGTGCAATTGGTGGTGTGCTGTCATAAGCCATGCCATTGCTGCTAAATATCTCCTTCCATCCGACGGCATTCGTGACTCGGATTGTGCTATAGTACAGAGTGCCCTCTTTCATTGCCACTGATAGATCTTGAGCTGAGCGTACCGTGTTCGACAGTACTGTAAATGATTTGACATCAGCCGCGCCAGGTGCTGTTCCCACTGCCCACTCGGTTTTGTAGATTCCACTCTCTGGGTCGTTGCAGTCGAAATTCACAGCTAATACTGGAGACGTAGTAACCCAGTCTGTATCGCCGCTCATTCCATCTTGTACATAGGTGCAGTTTGGTGGTGTAGTGTCAATGGAGAAACCATTGCTTATCATCAATGTGGCGTGACCAGCTTGATTCACAGCTTTCACCAAGCTGTAATATTTCTCGCCATGGGATAACTTAGCACCATACACAATGGCCATCTTCGACTTTCCAGCCAACTTGAAGGGCATCACCTTGTCAACCATTTCTGTTGGTGAGTCAGTCAGGCCGAGTAAGTATTGGTTTACTTCGGTGTCGCTGTCCGTGCAAAAGTCCCAGTTGGCAGAAAACCAGGTCAGATGTGAGAACCATTGGCTGTCATTCCAAAGTCCATCTCTGGCTTGACCTGCACACATCGGCGGAGTGGCATCTACCACAATGCCATCGGATGATGACACTGTTGTTAAGCCGGCCTGGTCAGTTTCTCTCAACAAGAAGTACTTCTTGCCGTTCTGCAGACCTCCTGGCTTGCTGAGAGTAGTTTTTGAAGAACTCAATGCCACAGCCTTGAATGGTACAATGTCATCCGCTTTGGAAGATGTTCCAATCGCAACTTCCCTTGTTGCCAGAGCCACATTATCACCGGTCCATTTCCACTCTGCTGCAAGAGTAGTATTATAGGATTGAAAGTCGCTATCAATGCCGCTCCAGCCATCTAGAACAACACCAGGCTGAGGAGGTGTACGGTCTGCAGTAAAGCCTTGCGCCGTCACAACGGTTATTTGATCAGCTCCGTTGCGAGAGGTTATTGTCACATAGTAGGACTGTCCATCAAAAAGGGGACCAACATTTACGGTCGGAAGTGAATCCACAGGAGGCATAGTTGGTGGTATGAAGTCAGATCCACCATGGTATGTACCAATGGACCAGGTCGTCTCTTTGATTCCAGATTCTTCGTCGGATGTGTTGAAGTGCACCGTGAGATCAACAAACTCGCTGGTAACATATGCGAGAGGTTTTGTTTGATTTGGCTTGGCTACAAAGACATCTTTGACTAGCGGATCAGTAGTGTCAATCGTCACTCCGTTGCTTTGTGCTTGGCTGTGGAGACCCGCCTTGTTGTGCACCCGAAGTGCAAATGTATACGTATGTCCATGCTTCAGGTCACCTGACCTACCAGTCATGTCAAAGTCCACACTGACATATTGCCACGGCATGGCTAGGCTGCCGTTCGTGGACAGCACCGCCGTCTCAGCGTAGCTCAGGCCAGACTCCCAGTCATACCAGGACTCGTTGCTACACGTGGATGGATTTGGTGTTCTACTTGCGCCAACGGGAGGCCAGCTGTCGGATGCATTCGTGGCTGTACACAGCTTGTAATTGCCAAATGCTGATGTTGCGTAATCCCAATATTCGATATCCTCAGCGACGTTTTGACCATCTCGGACGAGTCCAATTCGAGGCGCTGTCACATCGACCATGAATCCATCAGTCTTTGTTGAAGATGATAATCCAGCTTCATTCGTGCAGTTAATCTGAGCTTTGTATATCCCTCCATTGTCCAATTGTAAATTGGAGAATGTTGCACTGGTGCTCGAAGGAGGAAAGGTGGATTGCTTCAGAACTCTGTCATTCATATCCAGGAGCTCTACTGTGTAAGATATAACCGGGCTCTCAGAATCGAGAAAGACAAACCTCCACTGTGGAGCAGCAGCCTCAGCTGTCGTTTGGTAATCCTGGTCGAATCTGCTGAATAGCAACGGAAGAGTGTCATACAAATAGCCTCGTGCAATGTGTGGAGGAGTTATGTCCAGCATTATTCCATCGGAGAACTCGGAAATCTCCAGTCCAGCCCTATTCTTGGCACTGATCACAACATAGTACACTTGTCCTGGACGTATTTTCAGTGATGGGAAGCTGACGGTTCCAGTATTGTCTGTTCTGACGCTGACGTCAACATATGGATGCAGGTCTTTGCCGCCTTTGAAAGATCCCACAGCCGCTCGATACTTGACAACACCGCTCTCAGCGTCCTGACATGACCAGGATGCCTGGATTTCCGACAACACAGACGTATAGTCAATGTCACCTGATTCTCCATCAACCACATCTTGTATTTGTCCACAAACCGGTGCAGTGTAGTCAACAGTAAAACCATTTGACTCCACAATAGAATAGAGACCGGCCTTGTTCCATGCCCGTACCAGAGTGCGATACTTCTGGCCGAGTTTCATGTCCAAACCATTGGAAAATGCATTCGCCCTCAGTCCCACAGTACGCCATTGAAACAACTCAGCTCCAGTATTGTCAGCAATCGTCCAGTCATACCGAGCCAGCGAGCTTTCGGGGTCACTAAATCCAGTCCAAGATACTTGTAAATTCACGGTCGATATGATGTAATCGCGGTCCCGTGACACAGTGATGGACCCATCTGCGACAGTGCCACCAGCAGGTTTTGTTGTGTCAATGAGCACTCCATCTGAGGTTTTGGTCGTGATCATTCCCAGCTGATCAACAGATTGGATTGTTACATAGTAGCGTTGATTATGTAGGAGGTTGACATTGGCATTGACAAGTAGTGCGGCATAGCCCGCATCGGTGAACCCTTGGACATTGCTTGCGCCGGGGGTCCTACCAATAGCCCAGTGAGAGTTGATGACTGGAGTTTCGTCAGTGACACTAAACACGGCCTGGATTTGATCTGTGCGCCACTGAAAGTCTATATCCGCTGTGCTTGACAGGTTTCCATCCCTTACGGAGACATCAGGGGGAGTTGTGTCTGGTATGAATGGCGCAGCTGTCACCGAGGTCTGTAAGCCCTCTTCGTTGCGCGCAGTTACCGTCACATAGACTTGCTTTCCGTGTGGGAAGGAAAGCCCAGGCACGGCTGCAGTTTCAGCGTTTCCTTGGCTTTCTGACTTCAGTATATCGGCTCCTCCTGCAAAGCTGCCAACTGCAATGGAGTATTTCAAGTCCCGTGTGTCGGGATCGTTGAATCCAGACCAGGTTGAGTAGAGGGTGGTCTGAGAGGATTGCTGGGCCTCTACTTGTCCTGGCTCAGGTGCTGTTGTATCTGGCGGAATCCTGCACTTCTCGTAAATCCGTTTAGATATTTTACCAAACGATAATGAATAGAGGGTAACGCGGGTTGGTGGGCAGAAGATAATAGTTGGGTAGCAAATCGGGACCGATCCACCCTTGCATTTGATTGTGAAGCAAAGGAAGAATTCAGCAAATGCCACCAGAGACAGCCTTAGTGCAGTAGCTTTGATATCTATTGAGACACATATTTTCAGTTGACTTGATTCGGTCAGGCCAAGCGTTACAATTGGGTATAGCTTGGTATCCATGACAGTTGCAACCAGCGCAATACCGAAGCGTACTAGAACTAAATTGACAGCCAGTGACCCATCAAAGTCAAGTCGTGCATAGGGAATCACAGTTCCCTTCACACTGCGATCCAACAAGCAGATTCCAGCATTATAGTCCACTCCCCAGACCGCTCTGGCGACCATAGTGAAGTCCATCGGAATGCCAAGAACAGTGAAAAAGATTGTTTTCTGCAACAGGACCTTGTACTTGGCGGGCAGCAAGACACCCCCGATATTGATACAACCCTGGAAGTCCTCTTCGGCCCTCTTCTTGCGGTTTCTTGTTTTTTTGCTGGCACTGTACTTCTTTTTCCTATCAAATGGAATCAATTCTCTAGTCGGTACAACAAATTGATCCAGTACCTTGAGGTACAGCTCATTTCGACTGACAGCCTTGTCCGGATCCAGTCGCTGCTCCATCACGGGAAATGTGAACACCCATGTCTTGTCGTCGATAGTGCCCAGAATCATAGTATCACTCTTCTTCTGCGCTTGACTCGCACTGTTGAAGGTGATCAGCAGACGGTCCCAGCGTATTCCAGTGTACCCAAGACCGCAAGCTCCATTGGGAACGTGAACAGAGCGAGCAAGGCTTGTTGGATTGTCTGTTATGGACTTCATTGTGGTGTGGCGGTACGGAAACGTTGGCTTACTGGGGATTCGTCGAAACTCCACTCGGCAAGAGACTCCGATGATCTTCATACATTTCAGCAATGCAACATAGGTGACGTTATGGCGTTTGGATACAACCAGATCTTGCACGCTTTCCCCTATTATCAGCACTTCGCTGGAGAAAAACTGAAGGCCTGTAACGAACGGTGGAACAGCTGGAAGACCAGTAACGCCTAGTTTTATAGCAACAGCTAAGCCACCAGGAGGTATGCTCCGATGTCCATACGGTACATTCTGTACTGGTTCAGCACGAGTTGAGTAGAAATCAGCCAACCACAGCACGTCACGTTGACGCTCAAAGAATATTCCGTAGCCATATGCGTCTGGTCGGTATCGCTCATCGACAGTTACATCGGATGGCCCAGGAGTGTTTAGAGAGGAGGTGAATTGAGATATCTTGATGGCATGCAAGATGCTGTTCCGTGATTTTTTCTTCGTGTACGCTCCAAACAGGTAAATGTATTCAACAGCATTCTCGATACCAAAGCGAGTTGCTTCTAGCTTGTCCAGTGGTGTTGCAATGACGTAAATCTTCAGCAGTTTCCCAGTATTCTGATCAATTGCCACGATGAGTGGTTGTTTGTCCTTGTTGACACCTGTTCCAAAGAGAGTCTGCAAAATCACACCGGGCTTCAACATACAGATGCCCTGCGGTTGCCAGTCTTCAACAAGACCAGGGATGACGAACTTTTGCTTGTACAATGTGCGGAAATGTGCAAACTGCAACCCATCATAGTCCTTTTTCACAACTGGAATCTGCCGAACACACACTTTGGCTGAACACTGCGGCAACTGCTTCCAGGGAGTAAACGAGGACTTGTCCACAGGACGATTTTGCCATTGCAGCCCTGCAAATGCTTTCAGAGTGGCATTAAGTAGAGCGACTGGCACTGATTGGATAGCGTGGATCAGACTGCTGGTCGACGACACCACCTGCGGTCCAAAGATTTTGTTGAACATTCGAATGGCTGCACTTGCCTGGACCAGTTGGTTTGCAGCTGCTTTGTACTTCTGGGACGCATCACTCTCAGTAAAAGTCTTCACAGCTTGGGAAAAGGAGGCTGCAGAATCCCATTCCCTTTGTGTTTTGCCAAGACCGAGGCTGGAAAGGTCATTGGCAAATGAACAGAGCTTATCAATGTTGCCTGTGAATCCTACCATGTTGTCAACAAAGCCACCGGAGTCGACTGCTGCTGATAAGGTTGATGGCGAGATATCTTTCAATTGGGCAAGTCTGGACTTGAGGTTGCTCAGCGATTTTGAGAAAATTGACGGAAGACCGCTCTTTGCTGTGGCTAGTAGTTGAGAGAAGTTGCCAATGATAGCTGCCATCTTAGCATTCAGTGGCTGCAGTGCTTGTAAGTTTGTCAGTAGTGTATTTGCCTTCAGCTGTATAGCAGCTTTACCAGACATCAGGAATGTTGCGATACCCTGTACATGATTTTGTAGTTGAGTTGAAGCAGCCGTGATGACAGTCAGGTCATGTTTGACCAGGTCAGTTGCACACACGGCATCAGGCTGGCATACAAAGTTGATGTAAGCGTCTAAGTTTCCCAGATGATCATCGATGAGTGCCTGCATGGAGATCTTCAAGGCGTTGAAGTCGCTGCCGTACTTAACAATTGCGGGAACAGTGCTGTTTACTGAGATCGCTAGAGTTCTCTGCAAGTCATGGGCCACAACAGATGATGCTTGTATTGGCTGCAATAGTGGACTAACTTGAGCTGTTTGCTGTTTGTACCGAACAAATTCTGATGCCAGAGCAAGGACAGACTTGGCTTCCTTGGCAGTTGAGCGCAACGCCATGGCATAGTTATTCATATTGTCTTCAACAGTCAGGAGTCCTTTTTTCACTAGTGCCTCTGCTTGAGACCTAAAGTCGGTTAGAAGATGCTGCAGTTGAGGAGCAACAGTAAGGCTGGTGCCCACTGATGAGACAATGCGCCGTGTTCCAGAGAGAGCTTGAGCAATGGTGGATGATGTCAGATTCATGGCCTTACTGTGAAGCGCTTGTAAGGGCGTCACAACTTGAACACTCTTGCTGAAGTCGATCAGATAACCAGCTACCATCTTGATCCGAGGGCCCTCCGACACAATGTTTTCACCCCTCTCCACGAAACTCCTCGTTGAATCTGCCATGAAATCCAAATTTGCGACGTACTTAATGAAGTGTGCTGCGCCCTCTCTGAGGTCCCTTGAAAGTTGTGACACCTTGCTGAACAGACTTTGTGAGTTTTTATCCATGACCCATTGAGTCAGCTTGCTCAGCCCTCCAGACATTGAATCTACAATCAACTTTGTCGCAGCATAATTGCTCTTCTGCAGAACAGCCATTGTTTTCTGTATAGAGGACTTCAGTGTCAAAACGGTGGCGCTTTTGACAAGCTTTGTTAGTTTCTGCAGTTGCGACTTCAGTAGGGTTCCAGCCGTATCCAGAAGTTGTGAAAAGACCACATCCTTCCCGGCGTGTCGAACAGTTGCTAGGAAAACACTGGTGGTGTTGTCAAGAAATCTGTACATGTCGTGCCTGATATTTTTCAGCGCCTCTGTTGATTTTCTCATCACAAAGTCAGTTTGTGCCTCTGCTGTTGAAATGGCGGACTGAAGCATGCCTATGGAGCTCGTAATCGCTGAGGATGCCGATGTTGCCATTGATACGGACGTTTGGCTCAGTTCAGATTTTACATGAACTGATTGTGCTGCGATGTCAGATATGGCAGTGAGTCCAGTTGTCTGGAGAACATTGTAGAATGCACGTATTTCACTGCTGACATTCTGTAGAGGGATCAGGTTACTGGCGACTTGGTCCAATGTAGTTTTAATGGACGTAATAGCCCTCACAAAATCGTCCTTCACAGCAGTACGCTCGCTGGCAGGGGTTGCTGGAGAGAGGCCTTTACTTGAAAAGTCTGTAATTGCTCTTTGGGTACTTATCAACGAGCTGCTCAGAAGCTGAAGTTGTGAATTCATGGAACTTGCCAAACTCTGGTCCCACAGGATTGCTGAAGAAAATGATTTTGCTTGATCTCTGAGCTTGTTTACCGGTACGAACTTGTCTTTAAGGCTTCCTAGCGAAGACGAAGACACGGTAATATCTCGGCAGATTGCCCCAGCTGCGTTGGCTGACTGAACTGCATCTTCCATGGCCGTATCAGGAACTGGTAGATCTGGATCTCTCATTCCGGCTAGGATGTCGGTGATTGCCGTTGAGACATCTGCTGCTGATGCACTAATAGAACTGGTGTCCGATTGAATAAGCATGACCTTCTTTTTCAGTTGGGTTGGTATGGAGAGACCAATTGTCGAAAGAGATCGAGATGAGTCTGCTAGAAACTGCATGTCCGGCAGTTGTTGAACAACCTTGTCTGTCGCTGAATACATTTGATTGGCAACATTTGTGGCAGGTAGTGCACCATTCAGGCTTTGCACGAATTGACGTGCAGATGGAAGGAATTCGGTCAGTGGATTTGTTGAGAAGGCTCCACCAGTTAGCAGTCTGTAAGTGCTGAGTAGATTTCCAAATTTGTTGAGATTCTCCAGTACAGCATCCAGAGTGAACTTCTCTGCCATTACCACTGTCTTGATGAGTCTCCAGGGAGCATCTAGCAGGTGAGCTTGTATCGGGTTTTTGTAGCTAAGTGCTGCATTGAACGCCGCTACGCCCTCAATCAGAACCTCATCTATGATGCCTAAGAATGTAACCTTCACTTGGGCTTCATTGAAAATGTCAATCTCCATTTTGCCATCAAATATTGAAGCATACAGATTGAGCAGGTTGCGCAGTGTCAGTCGTTGACGCCCAGCTGCATACTTGAAGCCCATGACTTTCTGGTAAACCTTAGCGATACCCAGCCGTTCATCCATCAGCGGCTGTAGAAAATCCTTGATTGAAAGATCCCTCTTCATTCTCTTTCTTGTGTCTTGTATCTTTGATGCTGTTGGTTGCAGGTTGTGCCAGAATGTCAGATCCTCGTCAGAGAGTTTGTTGTTTTCCTCGTAGAAGTACCTGAGTGCATTCTGAAGCTCACTTTCCACACCGATTTCTGCCAATGCATGCTGGCGTAGCAGTTGCAGGGTAGAGGCTTTCACACCAAACTTCTCGTGGCGATGGTGCAGGCTCTGTACGATTATAGTCTTGGCTTCTTTGGTGGAATTGTCATGTGCAAGCTCTCTGGCATACAGATCTTCAATATTGGAGCAGTTGAAGTGCACCAAAGCACGCAGAGCAGTATGCCGTACGGAGATTTCTTTGCTGTTTACCCATGGAAGTATGCTGTAGAATGCAGGGCACTCACGTGAATTAGCCAACGCAGCCAAGTGAACTTGAACGTGATGGGAACTGTCGTAGTCACTGTCAATGTAGCGAGGAGTCTGGACGAGTTGCCGCTGGAGGTGATTTAAAATCGAGGTATGAGTCTGAGGCTGTTGATGTCGAATTCGATTGCTTATTGAACCGAGAGCAACAGTGGCCGAGATCCGAAGAGTTGAGTTGGTATGCTCTGTCGCGGTTGCAAAAACCGAGTCAACAAGCCTTGGATGAACGTCTTGTGAAAACTGACTCTCCAGCAGTATATCGCCTATAACTTCATGGCTAACAGTGCTGTTGAGTAGGAGTCTGGCAAGGCAGAATTGCGCAGCTAGCCGTTCTTGAGTGACGGTCAGTAGTATACGCATGTCACTAGTGGAAAAGAAATGGCCAGCACACAGCCTGTCAATAGCCTCTTGGACCACATCCTCATTGGCGTCTGCTTGCTTACCCGCTTGCAGTAGACAGTGCCCCGACTGATGGTCATCCTCCGCATACTGCAGGCAGGTCATGAAGCTGTTGAGATGCTGGCCAGCTGACAGCTGCTGTTCTTCCTCATCAGTACCTTTGTTGCGCGGATGCTTCGTATAGGTGAGCTCAGCTGGATCAACAGTATGCATGAGAGTGGCTTTGTTGTACAGTTGCTTCACAAACCCGTAGTCAGGTTGCGCACGCCTGTGCCGTCTTGGTTCGCAGCTGCCTTTGCGAGTCAGTTTTCCACGGCCAAATATTTCCAGTTCAGCCGAGAACGACGTAGATGTTTGATGCTGGCGTTCCTTCACTGGAGCCACGGGCTGATTGATATAGCTGTATGATACTGTGTCAAGTATTCCATTCAGGATGCCAATGTCAAATTTGTATTTGGCTGTTGTCGTTCCATACTGCCATGACGGGTGGGCAAAGTCAATGAAATCCCTGCCATCAATTAATTTGGTCATTTGAACATTGGCTTGTCCATTGACATCGAGAGACATGGAGTGCACCGTATAGTTCGCTCTGTAGCGGCCACTCTCACCCGTCTCCTGTACAGTATACCCACCCTGGTGCACTCCTGTCAGATTCAACTGCAGTACACTGAGCAGACCTGCGATGGACAGACAATGAAAAGAAAAACTTCTGTGAATTCATTCTGTGCACAATCAGGTAAAGGGAAAGCATGGTCTAGAACTTTCACACCAAGGGTCAACTCCAGCGACAAGAACGCGCACTAACAGGTTGTAAGTTGCAGCCTGCAGGCACTGTGACCAGGTGACTTGTGTACACATCAGCCCGTGACCGCTTACTCAACCGTGTTCGATTGGATATAAGGGGCGAACGTTGCATGGCAGCCTTCTCGGACAAAAACCAGTAGACTCAGCATCCAAAAACTACAACATATGGGCCAATCTCGTTCATCCTTGCTTTTATAAGAATGGAATGGCGCTTTTAGTGACATTTTGAATGTAAATCCCTATCTTGCAGGGCACAGTCACCCAGCAGTTTCCGTGGAAGTGCGCTAGTTCGATTGTCAATAAAGTAGGAAGGGAGCATCTCAGCTTCCTCGGACCAAGACCATTCGACTCAGCACCCTGAAGATTATGAGTAGTGACACTTTTATTCTAGACCATACTTCTCCTTTAACCCTTTTAATATCCGACCAAGAGGGTGCACAGATCGAAATTGAAGCTTTCGATTCGAAACAGTGGTATCGCATCTTCTATAGATTTAACGGACAGAATGATTCATGGACGCTCAATATCTGGATTTGTCAGCATATAAGGCAATGAATAATGTTCCATGTGTAATGGGTTGTAGAATGAACGACAATAGGGCTTGAAAGTGATGACGTCAAAAACGCCCAGGGAGTAGTAAGTTCACATCAGATTTCTACTGTGGATCCACTAAGGTGTGACTTTGCTATTGCCTCAGTGTGTGGGTGCATAGCAACCCACTCATGTCGTATGCAGGTGTGACTTTTACTTCGCCACCAGTTGCCACCCCCACCCCATTAGCCAACCCAGTCAATTTCACCGGCTATATCACCTTGCTGTGAGCAAGACCACTTGAAATGTGCTTTGATCCACACAAAAACTGGATCCACGTGGATCCAGTTTTTTTAATTTTTGAAATTGTTGCTATGCAGTAACGTAGCACTTTCAAGCCCTATACAAACTACTCTGCAGAGTTCCTTCACACAAATATTGAAACGGCGGTATAAGCACCACATAATTTTGTTGATGCAATTATTATTTCTTGTGATAACAATGTGAAGAAGAAGTTGGTGCGACTTCGGCGATAGTAATTTCTTGTGATGTAGGTGAAAATTGATGGTTATCACACAGTCCCGCAGAAAACAATGTGATAAAAACACTGACCTCTCTTCAGGATGAGGGAGTTGGATTTCTCATCGTCCTCGTGGTAGATTTGGGTGATGTGACCAACGTGATCTTGCTCGAAAAACAAATCATCAGATAACTCCTTTTCCAGCTTTGTGCCCACTCCTTGACAGTGCCCGCGCACACATGGTCTGGGTCGAATAATTGTTAATTCCCTCAGCCAAACATCAGGTCTCGTCGACGTTTGCTCAACAGTTCGGATTAGCACCTGCAGTCACCAAGAAACATCAGGAAAAACGTATACGACCGATGCAAGTACCGGTACATGTAGGAGCTAGTCGAAACCATGCAACTGCAGTAGGCGATTTTCGTACCGTGATTTGCACAAGAAAACAAACGAACAGTCATGTGTCTATGCCTGGTCTACACTAGTGCGATTTTTCGGCAGATACTCCAACACCGACTCCGACATGATATCGGCCACTGGGTCGAAACTACTTATGCACACACACAGTCGGAAACGTGTGCGACAACACCGTCCCCAACAGGCGAGCCTCTGCTGACCCGGCTGGGAGTTTCCAAGTGTCAGAGACTCAGAGCACTTCCACCGGAACACCTTAGCTCTTGTGTGGAAGAGCCTACAAGGCTACATGGTGAGACATCGCAGTCCATCACGCAACTATTGACTCCGCAAATGACCAGAGAAACCCGCCTTCAGCAGCAGGATGGACTCAGTCTTCCAGCTGCAAGAATAAACGCTGGTAAGTCGAGGTATGCCTTCACTGCCTTCAGCGATACAGATACAGTATAACCTGTCAAGGCGACCACTCGGATAAGGCGACCACTCGGATAAGACGACCACCTGTCCTAGAAGACCACTGAAATCAGGACCAAGGCATGCTACAATCGTCATGTGTTTCCAGTCAAATGACCCTGGATAAGGAGACCACCTGGTAACAGAGACCACGTTTTGAAGGTCCCATAGTAAACGGTCGTCTTAGACAGGTTTCACGGTACATGTATATGGAACAGATTACCAGGAGACGTCCGCTCCAGCACAACACTGGAGACCTCCAAAGCTGCAAGTAACATGCTAGTTCCAACAGTACCTTACACACTCGGTCACTGACTGTGCCTGTTGTAACTGTTGAGTGTTGTGTTCCATACTCAATTAATTTTGATACATGTACCTGCAGCTGTAGGTAATGCCATGTATGACACTAGATCCGTACTACATGTTGTATTGATCTCCAGCTGACTATCATTTCCAGTGCATATACATGTGAACACATTTTACATCACCCTTCCCTCTCTTTAATATACTTTATCTCTTCGCTACCTTTGCGAAATATAACAAAAGTCATCATCATCAGGCGGTCTTGAGGAGTTTCGTATGATTCCATATCGGCAGAAAAATCGGCCTACTTTACAGACCAGGCATACGAACTGTTAGTACGTAGAGTGCTGTGTGTGTTTCGCTTGACCACGTAATATTCTTCGCACCAGTTTGCTGCCTCCCGCCGCGCTACTGCCACTGCTTTTCACACAAGTAGTAGCTATATTTTCTGCCACCATGAGCTGCTCGTTTATTCTTTACCATCTACCAGAAGTAGCCACTGATGAATTGTGGAGAAAGATGTTTCTGTCAAAATTCAATAATAATAATATTATTATTGGTATCCCCCCCCCCCCCCCCCCTGTAGTTTGAGGATCTCGGGGACTGTCTCTCTTGACACCTCCTGCATAGGATGCATAGGATGCATACATCCTGGATCAGTCCAGAGGTCGTGTTGCTCTCTCTCTTCCTCTCTCTCTCTATCTCTCTCTATCTCTATCTATCTCTCTCTCTCCCTCTGCCTCTCTCTCTCTCTCTCTCTCTCTCTCTCTCTCTCTCTCTCTCTCTCTCTCTCTCTCTCTCTCTCTCTCTCTCTCTCTCTCTCTCTCTCTCTCTCTCCCTCTCTCTCTCTCTCTCTCTCTCTCTCTCTCTCTCTCTCTCTCTCTCTCTCTCTCTCTCTCTCTCTCTCTCTCTCTCTCTCTCTCTCTCTCTCTCTCTCTCTCACACACACACACACACACACCACACACACACGCGCACACACACACACACACACACACACACACACACACACACACACACACACACACACACACACACACACACACACACACACACACACACACCACACACACGCCACACACACACACACACACACACACACACACACACACACACACACACACACACACACACACACACACACACACACACACACACGCCCCCCCCCACACACACACACACACACACACACACACACACACACACACACACACACACACACACACACACACACACACACACACACACACACATTATATACATGCATACTCGAACTCGAAGTACATACACCCATCGGCGTGGGAATGTTTGTCATTCGTGTCCAGCTGAGCTCAGACGTGTCTTTTACGAAGTACATGACTGTAACCTTATATGTACATGATTGTACTCTACATGTCTACTGCCTGGTGAGTGAATGGAGTATTTTAGGGTACGACAGCGGCACGAACAAGACCACCCAGACTACCAAAGGGCGAGAGCCCCTTACGGGCAAACATTGAAAGACATTAGAAACCGCGTTGAGAGAGGGATCTACAGTGTAGCACCAAGTGGTTAGCCATGGGTCGGTGTTCGTGGTAAAATGAAGCCATTCTCAAATGGATGAGTTTGCTGTTCATCCAACGCGACTTGGCATGTGAAAGACTGTAATTTTGGGCCAGCTCATCATCCAGTCAGTTAGCTATCAACGACCTGAGTATGATAGCTCGTGCTGTCAAGTAATCTAGCACGTCCCGTGTTTTAGGCCATGTACATTGACAATGTGCCAAGATCAGAACTTCATCTGTACATGTACAATCATCATGTAGCATCTCAGAAAATTCTCATCCTATGCACGAGTTCATGGGCATGCTTTTTTTAAGCCACGCCTTGGGGCATTTTCGTGGAAAGGATTATGTCTCGCACGGGAACAGCGCATGACATCTAAAGCAGCACAGGTTGCATCAGCTCCGTTGAAACAGACCTTCTTGATTTCTTTTCCAGCACTTTCCGTATTATAGGTAATGTCTTGAACAGTGAGTCATAATCAGATCTAGCATATGGATTTCTGTGGAATCTCACTCAAGGACGAAATCATGAGTATTTTCATGTGAAATCAGCTGCCCCGGCCTGGTCGGCGCCGGCGTTACCTTGGAAAAGGTTGCACTGTTGCAAAGCTGATCTTTCTGGAGTACTGCGCCTGACATTATAGACTTTGAGGGTTCATCTGAAAATTCCACGACGACACATGCAGCAAAGGCTGCATTAGGTCAATGCAAACATGCGCAGCTCCTTCCAGACTTCTTTAGATGCTCCCGTGCTGAGGTTGTACATGCTAGCACAAGCATCTTGATAAAGGCTACTTCAAGTATACTGAAGTAGCCCTCTGAAAACTGTCCATTTATCGCCGATATTATATCTCTAGACCTTATTCCAATTCAGTTGGACAACATGAACACCTTGAAATGTATCAGTTTCGTAGAGTATCGTGTTGGTCAATGTAGAATTTCTCTCCCTCTCTCTCTCTCTCTCTCTCTCTCTCTCTCTCTCTCTCTCTCTCTCTCTCTCTCTCTCTCTCTCTCTCTCTCTCTATCTATCTATCTATCTATCTATCTATCTACAGTTGAGCACTCTTGCGTGGGGTAGTGCCTTTGCTGTTTGCGTTATGCAGAGCTCACTGACTTGTCAATTTGAGCACTCTGGCAAGGTACGTTCGGGCCTGATTGGAAATTTTTATTTCCATTGCTATCAGGTTCGGCCTCATTTTCTCTGTGCTGCGCTGACGAGTCCACAAAGGACGAAACAGTTCTGTCCGCAGATTGAGTATATCGCTCCTGCTCTTGTAGCAGTTGAGCACTCTTGCGTGGGGTAGTGCCTTTGCTGTTTGCGTTATGCAGAGCTCACTGACTTGTCAGTTTGTGCACTCTGGCAAGGTACGTTCGGGCCTGATTGGAAATTTTTATTTCCATTGCTATTAGGTTCGGCCTCATTTTCTCTGTGCTGCGCTGACGAGTCCACAAAGGACGAAACAGTTCTGTCCGCAGATTGAGTATCTATCTATCTATCTGTGGACGGGACCACTTCCCCCTGTATCTATCTATCTATCTATCTATCTATCTATCTATCTATCTATCTATCTCTCTCTCTCTCTCTCTCTCTCTCTCTCTCTCTCTCTCTCTCTCTCTCTCTCTCTCTCTCTCTCTCTCTCTCTCTCTCTCTCTCTCTCTCTCTCTATCTATCTATCTCTTTCTCTCTATCTCTCTCTCTCTCGCTATCTATCTATCTATCTATCTATCTTTGTCTCGCTCTCAGAAAAGGCACAAAAGAGGTTGTCGCCTGATGATTGCATTGCGCAATTAACTCGGAGTTTCGACGAACTCTGTAAACCGCCTTTGTGCCTTTTGTGTAATAGTGCTCCACAGTTGAGCCCTCTCCTCTGGCTTTTTCTCTATACATAATATGTATAGAGAAATCTTTCTCTCTCTTTCTCTCTCTTTCTCTCTCTTTCTCTCTCTTTCTCTCTCTTTCTCTCTCTTTCTCTCTCTCTCTCTCACATACGCACACACACGCGCACACACACACGCACACACACACACGCACACACACACACACACACACACACACACACACACACACACACACAGTGACGCACATAATAGCGTGAGAGGTTGTCATTCGCGTCCAGCTGAGTTTAGGCGTGTCCTTTGCACGTACATGTCCATTCATTCTTACTAATGAATGGACTATACTAATGAACGGACTAATGTTTGTAGGATACATCCGATGATCGGCACGACCAAGACCAGCTAGAGTGAGACTGAGAGAGCCCCTAACGGGCAAACATCGACAGACATGTACATTGTAGAAGGGGGAGACTAGATAAGAGAGGTACATGTAGTTAGAACCAAGTTGCTAATCATGGCTCAGTGCTCGTGGGAAAATGAAGCCTTCGCTGCTCAAATGGATGAGTAAGATGTTCAACCCATGCGTCTTGGCATGTGGATGGCATTTGGGCCCGTTCATCATCACGTCAGTCAGTTGTCAACGACCTGAGTATGATCGCTCGCGCTGTCAAGTAATCGAGCACTTTCCGTGTTTTCGATCATGAACATTGACAATGTGTCAAGAACCAGACCGAGTATCAGGCTCGTGGAAAAGAGGTTGACAATAACAAGTCTTCCACGGGAACAGCGCATACCATCTCAAATTGACACAGTACAGGTTGCATCAGGTGAATTCAAACAGGCCTTCTAGACCTCTTTTGCATCTTCAAGCAACTGTTGCTGAAGGCTTTTTCAGCCACTTGCACACTCTTCCATGAAGCTTCCCCGATCACCGATTTTTGTATCTCTTGATCTGGGTGCATTTTATGGACGACAAGCAAACTACACCTTTTGTACAGTGTAGCCTACGGCTCAGAGTTTGTCTTTGGCCAATTCATTGGTCAATGTTTAATTTGGCTGGGAGGCAATAGTGTTGTCATTAGGTTTGTGGAACTGTAACACCGCTGCTAACAATAGCACTGTGATATGGATGGTGAAGAATTTGAACTAGCATGTGTTTGGTAGTGAAGGAACAATGGGAGATGATTTCTACTTGGAAATTCCAGGAAAGACTTGCAAAAGCACATGTACTTGCTGCTAGTAGATTCACAGAGATAAATAGGCAAGTGAGCGAGCTGTCATTTCCAGACCCAAAACGCCGGTCTGCCATCCTCTTATGTGAGCACCCCTACCCCACCCCACCCCACCCCCTCCACCCCCTCCACCCCACCCTCGGCCTCTGAAGTACTTCGAAAGATTTCTCTCCTAAATGTTTGCCCTCTGTTTCAGAGCTCTCATCGTCCATCTTGGACCTGAGTTCACGCCCCTCCCCCCCCCCCCTCCCGCATTATCTAATATTGTCCGCTTGAGTCCCCACTTACTTCATGGCACCTTCAATCGCTTCCTTTTTATTGAGCACCTCTGCTCATTTGGTAACAACAACAACAACAACAACAACAACAACAACAACAACAACAACAACAACAACAACAACAACAACAACAACAACAACAACAACAACAACAACAACAACAACAACAACAACAACAACAACAACAACAACAACAACAACAACAACAACAACAACAACGGCGATGGTGCCATCGTGAGAATAAAGAATTCAACGCCTTTCGATAACGGCAGCTCTACCACTATCTTGCACTAACGTTATATGTGCCATAATTTTCAAATGCGAAACTGGAGCTTGAGCACGAAAGTTCCGCAAGAGAAGAGAGTGCCCTGGCCTGGGTGTTCGCAATTGTTTAGTACGTCAGTGCACGTATTGTAGCCGTCACGCCAGTTTTTCATTTCTAGGAAAAAAACATGACGGTATAGGATTTACTGCGCCACAGGCAACGTTATGCGCTCTGCTTCACTTTCTCTTTGTAGCAGTGATAACCTATCAGATGAGGTCCCTGAACCATTATACAGCTGTGTAGAGGTCAGGTTTGTCAACTCACATTGCCATGGTGGCATAGCTCGTACATGAATGTATGATTGTTAGTACTAGTACTCTTTTTAAACGTCTTGAGCACCCTAGACCTAGTGCATGCAACTCAGCAGTATGCTTGTGTGTACACTACTGCCGACACGACTCGACAGAGTTGCTATTCAGTTTGCTAATCACAGGATGACTAAGAGCAATTCGCCTTCAGACTTAGCCTATTAGTCTAAGCACATTTTAAATTAACCTACGAGTGATGTATGTGTGAGTGGTACCGGATGTACATGGTTGTTAACGGTCTGAGATGAGGTTCTCAGCGAATGGATGTTACGGTATGGCAACCATCCAGCCGCGCATTACTACTGTTCTGTCCCATGCAGCCTGCCAATGAGCAAATGTGCATACCGGTAGACACGAGGGCAGTGTGCATATTCAGCCAAGTTTCATAATATGACTTTACTGTACTCCAGACACCCAGAGAATTGGAACTGAAGGTTCTGTCTTTTGAAAACAATGATTCTGCATTCGGAAACACAATAGAATGAACGACTCCGCATGCGTGCTCACCTCAGCTGAAAGTCCACCTGTTTCCTGACGCATATCATTTGCTCGTCGACCCCCAAACATCATGTCATAGCTATACAAGTCGCACGCCGACTCTTCGAATGCAAGAAAGCGAGCTCCATCCATCGTTGCTACGGATTGCCGCTCTCCTTCTCGTCCTGCCCCGCCTTGTTCGAGATGTTGGCCGGTATCATCCCAGTTTGATTCACTTCTCATTTTCGTCATTGTCCGAGCATGCTGTTGAGATGCAGGGCCACCTTCACCTTCATCTAAGCGAGAAGATACGGCACACTCTGGCAGCACGCCAAGCCATGCGAAAACCAACCAGCAGAGTAGAAGAGCAGCACTCTTCCCACACGCCATGGTCGTACCTTCACGCCAGTGAGGAGCTGTTCATGTGTTCTCCAAGTAAGCGGTAGGTCATTCTGTGAAAAGCAACTACTGTTCCTCAACAAGATCGTAACACAACGTCGTCTGCCGTCTCCTCCCACAGACCAGCTAAAATGAGGGTTGCTCGCGGGAGGACTTGACCTTGGGTGGTCCTATTTCATTCACATACTGGGCCGGCTAAATTTCGTTTGCCAAACACCATACTTGCTGACACAGCATGGTAGGGACAGCACAGTACATGTACTTCCGTACTTTACCAGATGAACGGCGGAATTATACGGTCAGAGGGCCTTTTTGCTCTTACTCTCCGGACTGAAGGCAGCAGTGTAGTTAGTGTAAAGGTCTGTTATGAAGTTAGTTATCTTGTAATGGTGGCTTGGTCGGACGTATGCTCAGCAGCGCTCCACAGCGTCTCACGAATCCATCCAGATGACTGATCCGCAAGCGGGGAGGAGTGAAGCAACAATGGCTTGGTCAGTCCTTCCACTGCAGTCGTATATCCTCGGTTAGTTTGTTATGACCTGCGTGTGCTTCTGAAGTCTTGACGTTGTTGCATGATTGTTATCAAGCCAGGGCTTCTCTAGTTGTGGACGAATGTCCATTGAAGACAAGGAAGATAATCATTTTTGAGTACACTACCAGTACCTATGCCATGTTCCTGATTCATGTACATGTACATGTACATGTACATGTACAATAGACATAATTATTATTAGCTGTGGCTTGCTGGTGATTTTAAAGTGTACAATATTATTGTACTTTGCATTTTGAGAATATTAAACTGTGCCGTGCAGTGGCATCACAGTTACGTGCTAGAGAGTTTTTTTTTTTTTTTTACTATGTTCACACTCCCAGCTCGAAAATAATAAAGAAAGACAATGATACTGAGACTAGGACGAACGTGACAACTATTGAGCAGGGGCTGCACCGAGACGCAGCATACTGAAAGCGTTTTCCTTTCTTTCAAAATTATACTAATTATAGCCGCTGTTCGCCTGTAGGGAAACAGCAAATATGCCTTCTTTGTAAATAGGGAGATATACATCAGGCCCGTCGCACCGACTTTGGAGGTGGGGCGGCCGTGGAAGGGGGGGGGGTCGGGGGTCCTCCCCCCGGGAAATTTTCAAAAATTGTAGCCAATTGCAAGCATTTCCGGGCATTTGGTGCCATTTCAGTGTAACTACAATGAAAGACTTTTTGATTCTGCAACAAACCAAGAAGACGCTACAATTGGGGACATGGGTTCTTCATTATCTTCCCACGGGAAAAAAATTCCAAAAATTGTAGCCAATTTGCAAGCATTTCCAGGCATTTGGTGCCATTTCAGTGTGTTGTGTGCAATGAAAGACTGTTTTGATTCTTCAATAAACCACGATCGGGGACAAGGATTCTTCATTATTTTCCACGTTTGGGCTGAGCTGCGATCATGGAGTCGAGTGTGCTCCAAAAAAAAAAAAAACGGCCTAAAAAGTGGGGCGGCCTCAGCCGCCCCAGCTGTGACGGCCTTAAGCGGGATTCACAGAAGCTTTTTTGCGATGCGACAGGCGCGAAACCGGGAAAACCCCAAATCGCAGCCATGTCGCAACCCACGCAACTGTCGCAACTGGGCCATCGCAGAAGTTGAGCTTGGCTCAACTTTTGCGATGCGATGCGATGCGACAAGCGATTTGGCGTACGATTTTGACCTTTTCTACAGCAAAATTGTACAAAGGTTCAAGAGTTGCCTATAAATTTGTACAAGTTGTATCAAACCGCGCGAATATCTTGGTGACGTACCCAAATCAGCAAGATTTTGTCGCAAAGCTGACTTCTTCTGTGAATGGCATTTCGCGAGTTCGCATCGCACGCATCCATCGCAGATCGCGTCGCATCGCGTGTCGCATCGCAAAAAAGCTTCTGTGAATCCCGCTTTAGGCCTTGACGGATTATGCTAATATTTTCGTGAAATTATGCTTTTCGCATTGCTGAAAAAATGGCAGAATTATGCTATTTTTATGCTAAAAGTTATCATATTATGCCGCATTATGCTCACATATGCTGCTAATGTATATGATGGTTCTGTGCAAAATAACAGAGGGATTTTTTGTATAGGGCGTTGTACTGTAGTGTAGTAGCAAAAGTTCAACGGGGTCAACGCGCCGTCCGACCTACTACGACCGTCACTGATTGTAGTGGACTGGACATGTTATCAAGGGAGTCGTAAACCTACGACTTCCTGGTGCATCTACTTGTACATGTACTTGTACATGTACTTGTAGAACATGTACAGCTGTATGATGCGAACAGGCGGATTATTACAATTTATGCGATTCGTATGCAATTTGCCTCGAATTATGCGATTATTCGATTTTGGTAGGAATTATGCGAAAATTTAAGCTAGCATAATCCGTCAAGGCCTAGACGGCCTTGTACATACATGTATAGCGGCAAAGGTTGCCTAAGAAGTGCAATGTGCCTCGGATACTACACGTAAGAACATTGTAGTTTAGGCCTTGACGGATTATGCTAATATTTTCGTGAAATTATGCTTTTCGCATACCCCGCTCTGCCTGAATCAGGCATTGAGCACTCTTGCAGAACCAAAGCATATTGCCTCTGTGCTTTTCGCATTGCTGAAAAAATTGCAGAATTATGCTATTTTTATGCTAAAAGTTATAATATTATGCCGCATTATGCTCACATATGCTGGCTCCTCTTGCCGCATCAGACCATGCCGTCCTGCTGGCTGAGTTCTCCTCCTCAAAGTCTTCCCCCACAGCAGCCAGCACCTGCCGTAGCCCACCATCTACACAAAAATACAATGTCCTGAGTGCCACGGATAACATGTGGAATGCCATGAATGTTTTTCTCGCAGCTGTACCCTGGTCTCAGGTCCTTGCCTCCCACTGCATCGACACGGCTGTCTCCGCATTCACTGACATCCTTGAAGGTGCCTTGGACCTATATATAGGAAGATCCTCACCTCCTCGTCGGAAATCACGCCACAAACCCTGCCCCTGGATGACTCCATCACTGAAAGCAGCTATTAAAGTCAAGAGCGATCTCTACAGCATCTACCGGAAATACCCATCCCCTACAAATTTCAACAAATACAAACACCAACGTAACTATGTAAAATGCCTTTCCAGATCCTGCCATCGCTGGTACATCCGCAACCTCCGTGCCACGATATCTCCCACAAACCCTCGCCTCCCATCCCTCCCTGTGCTCATTCGTCAACTGCGAAATCCTACCAGCGCCCGGGTTATACCTTCGAAGATGGTGGGCCCCAATGGTCGAACAAGCACCTCTCCGGCATCCATTGGCAACTTATTGAACCGCCACTTCGTTAGTGCTGGCTTACAGGTTGATCCCGATGCTCCTATTCCCACTATTTCCTCTCTACCTCCACCAGCAACTACATTGCACTCCCTGATCATCACCTCATCGACTGTTCACAAGTATATTGCAAGACTGCCTCTGAACAAATCCCCCGGAGCTGATAGGATCACCAATGAGATCCTCAGGAAACTGAGCTACGCAATTGCCCGCCCACTCTCCATTCTTTTTAACCTTTCCCTCTCCTCCGGCACATTCCCGTCACGATGGAAGTCAGCCACTGTCATTCCAGTGTACAAAAATAAAGGCGACAAGAACAACCCGTCTAATTACCGACCAATCTCCCTCCTGTCCTGCGTCTCCAAACTGCTAGAGAGAATAGTGTACGACCGCTTGTACGACCATATCTCCCCTCTTCTTCACCCCGCACAATCTGGCTTTCGTCGTAAGGACAACACATCCCTGCAATTATCCCGCATAATCCAAGACCTCTGCTCCCTAAAAGACCAGCGGCAGGTCTCCTGCATCTGTTTCTTCGACCTCTCCAAGGCCTTCGACACCGTGTGGCACAAGGGCCTGATCGCCAAACTTCGTGCCCATGGTGTCTCCGGCTCCCTACTCGCCTGGATAACTAGCTACCTCTTGGACCGAAATCAGTGCGTCACAGTAAATGGAACCTTATCTGACCCCGAGTCTGTGACATCCGGAGTGCCCCAGGGCTCCATTTTAGGTCCCCTGCTCTTCCTCACATACGTTAATGACCTCCCCTATTCAATTCCCAATATTTCTTTGTTTGCAGATGATACCACTGTCCTTGCTTCCTCCCCATCTCACGCCACCCTGTACCCCAAAGTTCAGACCTGTATCAACGACATTGTTCACTGGATGAGCACTTGGTACCTTAAGCCAAATGTGACCAAAACCGAGCTCCTCCTGTTTCCCCCTCCCACAGATCCAGTGCCCATCTTCCACTTTCCCGATGATCCCGGTCACCCTATCTCTGTAGCGCCCCACCATAAACACCTTGGCATTGTCATAGATTCCGCCCTCTCCTGGTCTCACCATGCTGATCATGTGTCGTCCAAAGTATGCCGATCTGTCGGCATAATGTCAAGTCACTTGTCCCATTTGCCCAAAAATTGCCGGATTAATTTTTATAAATCATACATTCTTCCCCTCTTCACGTACGGCTTCCCTGCCTGGTCCACCATTAACAAAACCCACATAGGTAAATTAGAAGTTCTCCATCGCCGTATACTGCGAATCATATTCCGTACTGATCGTTATACCTCAAATCTAGACTTGTATGCTGCTGCATCCACTACCACTCTGCAACATTACCTTGATGCTTCCAAGTGCACCCTGGCGCATTCAATTTTCCTTGACCAGCACCCTGCTCATTTACAGTCCCTTAATTGGTTCAATTCAGGTGGCACCACCCGAAGCTGCGTTCGTCTCCCCCTAGCTAGGTCTACCCTATTCGTAAATTCCCCTTTCTTTTCCTCCTACTCCACGTGGCTCCAACTGCCTCCCAGTGTTAGACAAGCTCCAGATATGCCCAAATTCCGTACCCTCGTCAGACAGCACTTCAGTATCTCCCAGTAAACAAAGTCACAGTCACCACTTCCGCTGCATAGCTCGCTGAGCATCCCATTGCTTTGTAAGTTGCTAATCCCTTCCCACTTTGTGTACGTGCTCTTAATTTTCTTTTTTTCTCTTCTTCCGTGGTTGGTCTCACCCTCTCCTCAATTCAATTGGCTGTCTTGACATGCCACGAGGTGCAGAAATAAATAATAAATAATAATAATATGCTGCTGATGTATATGATGGTTCTGTGCAAAATAACAGGGGAATTGTTTTGTAGAGGGCGTTGTACTGTAGTAGCAAAAGTTCAACGGGGTCACCGCACTGTCCGACCTAGCTACGGCCATCACTGACTGTAGTGGACTGGACATGTTATCAAGGGAGTCGTAAACCTACGACTTCCTGGGTCATCTACTTGTACTTGTACTTGTAGACCATGTACAACTGTATGGAATTTGATGTGAACAGGCGGATTATTCCAATTTATGCGATTCATATGCAATTTGCCTCGAATTATGCGATTATTCGATTTTGGTAGAAATTATGCGAAAAATTATGCTAGCATAATCCGTCAAGGCCTATTGTAGTTACAGTCCGTTTTCTCACGTCGTCAAATGGGGGTACGTCTTAGCAGAGTTGCATTGCTTCCACTGTAGTACTAGTAATGTAGCGACATGAACATGTACATGTACATGTATGTCTGCCCAATATAATGCCCAAGGCCAGCGGATTACAAATATTCATTGTCGCATATGCACTTGTGTCAGCGATGCGAGTTGCCCCAGACTCTGGTCCTTGACAATGCATTTAAAATACTGGTTGGCACTACATGTACATGTACATGTATAATGTTGTACTTCTACCAGTGATCACTATGGAGACGAAGAGTAAAGAACTGCTTTCTTTGTGTACTTCTCCTTTCTGCTCGTGTTTTATCACCAGTGATATTGCTAGCACTTTCAGGAGAAGAACTAACGCTCGTTTCAGGTTTGTTCACACACTTGAAGACACAGCAACACACACACACACACACACACACACACACGCGCGCACACGCACACGCACACGCACACACACACATATGATATAATGATAATATACATACACACATACACAAAACATACGCACTTACGTCTACTGAAGTAACATAGTCTCCTCTCCGCCATACACTCACTCGTTACCACCGATGCACACGCAGCCACACTCACCCCCAGCATGGACACACAGCATGGACACACAGCATGGACACACAGCATACATACATACATTGCATTAAAAGTACTCTGCAACTATGCTACATGTACTTCATTTAAAGCATGGTTGCAGATCCAACTTGTTTCTCATGCCTACACTTCAACGCCAACCAGTGACTGTTACCTGGTTTTCCTGTTTAGCGATATTAGCTTCAATACTGCTTCCATAGCTCAGTGGAAGTGAAGCATTTTCTGTGGCAGTGGGATTAGTAGTAAATGTTATAGTAAAATATTTGCTTAAATGGTCCATCAGTTATTTCAATTTTTCTCTTTCCTCGCATCCAGTTGCATGTGATGTTGGATTTGTAGACAATACTCTGTGTCAGGCATTCGTAGGTAAAACTCTGTCAGGCATTTCTATTTCTTTAAAATAATGTTCCTGGAGATCTACCGTGCCGCGCTTACTAGTAAATACTACAGTACAGTACTACTACCGGTAGCGCAAACGTTGACCTCGATGAAGCTTGATCCCAATCCGGGCGTCGGAACCGCACCGGCCGGGGGCGGCCATGACCGCCCCACTTTTTCGGCCGTTTTTTATTTTTTATTTACTTTATTTTTTAGCACACTGCAACAAAGCGCGATGATCTCAGCGCAAATCCTTGTCCCCGATCGTGGTTTGTTGCAGAATCAAAAGTCCATGTACACTGAAATGGCGCCAAATGCCTGAGAATGCTTGCAATTGGCTTCAATTTTTGAATTTTTTTCCCAGGGGAGGGTAATGTTTGTCCCCGATCGCGCTATCGTAGCATCTTCTTGTTTTTTTGCAGAATTAAAAAGTCTTTCATTGTAGTTACCGTCACTGAAATGGCACCAAATGCCCGGAAATGCTTGCAATTGGCTTCAATTTTTGAAATGTTTTCGGGGGAGGACCCCCGGACCCCCCCCCCCCCCTCCATGGCCACCCCACCTCCAAAGTCGGTGCGACGCGTCTGAATCGATAAAGTACCCATAATTGCTGCTGCTTTATTCCATCATTTGCAATGGTGGACATAGCGTGATTTGTGATTCCACGACATTACGTTCGTGACTGCATTGTCCATGTAGTCAGCGGTTCACAGCGGAGAGATCGCAGGCAGCGGAGAGATCGCAGGCAGCGGAAACGTGAAGCCGCTTGGTCACTTCATGTGCACCTACGGTACCGAACCGTCAAGCCAGCATGACCAGAAAAAAGCTAGAGGCAGAAGTGGGCAAGATGGCTACGGAGGGAGCAAAGACGACCGCTGAACCCAAAAGACCCAACGATGTGCCGGAGATAATATAAACAGCATGAACAACGAAACCTCGCCTATCACGCTCTCCAGAACTTTTTGCCCGCTTTGGAGGCGCCGTGATTCGCTGAAAAACTAACTTTCTGCTGTTCCGCCACGCGTGCACGGTAAGCGTCATAATAATTAATTTTGATGCCGGTCATCTATTCGCCATGCCGCCATGGCATCTTTCTCATTACGGCAGTTTCCTTCAGTCTGAATTGCATGAACGCATCATTAAAACGTTGAGTCCTAAAAATAAAAACAGTCCTCTCTCTGTTTAGTGCTGTTGTCGTCTTTGTCGTTGGTGATGAAGCTTTTTTTGAAACTATTTTTTAATTGTTCGAGGGACACTCAGTCTCATTTTCGAGGTCGAGTTCTCCATGCCAACACCAGGGTAGGTGTGTAAGAGAAGACCCCTCGGCCGAAGAAGAAGCGATCGAGTCTAGCTGGACGATGAGCGTTGAATTTCGCCGAGCGAGGCCCTGCCGATAACATCACAGTCATATGCTTAGAATGGCAGGCAAGATGCACCAGCGCACATACATGTACATTGCAGGCCTGAATAATTATTTACTGTAATTTGTTTTGCATATTAGTTTTTAAATTAAAAAAGAGGACCAAAAGTTTACAAGTTATCCGTTTTGTCCAACACTAACGGTTATAAGCAGAATACTGTTGAGTCAAAATGTGCAACAATTAGCATTAACAATTAAACAATCAGCGCATGCGATAACATTGCACGACACTGACGTTCTACAACTAACTGGCTAACAGCTCTAGCCCGCCAACGTCCTTCACAGCTGAGGCTTTCAGCTCGTGCTTATCTTGGTTGCGCTCACCTTCCCCTCCTTATGTTATTTCTATAACTTAGAACCTTCCAAGTTGGAAGGCTGTTGGAGTGCGAATCCAAGATGTGCTGGAGCTGTTAGCCAGTTAGTTGTAGAACGTCAGTATCGTCGGTCAGAGTCGTGCAATGTTATCGCATGAGCTGATTGTTTAGTAACTGGTGGTGTTAGTGGACATTATAGCGGAACTTGTAGTTCCTTGGTCCTTTTTCTTTCTTATAAATTACAGTCAACTTCGCTAATAACAACTGCGGATATAACGGCAATTTGCGAATAAGGACAGAATTTCCATGCCCAGAGCAAAGTCCCATCCAACTGTAATACATAATATAATGACTCATGAGACTTCGGGCATAAAGACACTTAGCGAATAAGGACACTTTTCTGATGCCCCGCCGAGTGTCGTTATATGCTAAGTTGACTGTATGCTGGTCGTGGTGATAATGCAGAAGGTTGAAGGTAGCAGGAGAGACGAACACAGATGGCAAAAACAAGAAAACATGAAAAACAAAATTCACTAGGCTGGTATTGGGTGAGGCATGTGCCGATACAGATTATGTGTACAGTCGACCCCTGGTATAACGAACACCATTGTGCAGGATAATTAGTTCTTTATAGCGGAAGTTCGTTATACCAGAAATGCACTCACACTATACAAGCAGCAAGTAATGACTGGCAAGTAGCCCTTTCCCAAAGGTCCTCTTTTAATTCGCACTTACTGCTTTTCGCGTCCCTCAAAATATGCTGAAAAAGTGCTCTTTTTCAGTGAAAACAGGCAAAAAGTGCTCTTTTTTCAGTGAAGCATAGCCATTATACATGCTCATATATCAGATATGAACCCAAGATGAGAAATGAATACGAACTCTTCCATTTATGGGTCCACGAAAGGCAAAACAGGAAGTAAAGTTCAAAAACCCCACTTTTTACAGCATTGTGTACAAGCTTCACCAACTTGTTGCCCCCCAAAAAAGCGGCGTGCCAAGACCCATCGAGCAGTCGGAAACTGTGATCGCATGCATGAGCAAACAGATTTTAGCACTTTTTCAGCTAAAAAAGCTCAAAAGGGTGATATTCACCAAAAAACGCAATAAAGGGCGAAAGAAACGGGCTTTTCCAAAAGGGCCAAAAAGGGCGAAAAAAGGCGAGCACCTTTGGGAAAGGGCTACTGGCAAGTGGCCCATGATCATTATGACTGTATGTGTGCACTTGGTTTACCTTTGGCCCTACAAGATTTGGTTCGTTAGAAACGAAAAATGTTCCCAAAAAGGGGTCAATTTTGTATGAGTTCAAACAGAGATATGGGCAATGGTTCGCTACAATTATCACGAAATTTGCTAAAATTATGCGAGTTTTGTAAATGGAGTCGACTGTATTAGTTTTAATTTTAACACAAGCCGCCTAACGTTAGTGCAGTTTTCTCCATAGCACAACTGTGGCTACTGTTGGATGCTAACGTTTTTGCAGGCCGTTATTATTAATATGCGTTAAGTAACTAGTTCTGACTCACTGTGTTGAGCACGATTCGTTCGGTGACTACATTGCAGTGGTGTGCTCCGTTTGTGCGTAGACCTACTATGTGTCACTAGCATTATACAACTCACAATACAATCGTGTTCCGTATTCAGGTGGCAGCCATGTTTCACACCAAGGTTGTTTGTAAGCGTCGAGGATAAGGAGTGCAAACTTTTACTTGTTCTGGCTAAGTACACAAGGTTAATACCACATTGAAGGTTTCTTTTCTGAACCTTTCATCCTGGGTAAGACTTGGTCATAACAGAGCCCAAACTCCTGTGTTCTTCTCTGCAGCCTGCACGGCTCCATGGTCTTCACTTGCCGGGACAAGCTACTGTTTCATCAAGTCAGGATGGCATGGAACGTATACTGGAGCGCAATGGGTTTGCAATACTAGACACGGGGGAGCTGTTCTGCCAAGGATCTACACATCAACAATGAATAATGCACTGAGAGATTTCATGGCACCGCTAACTGAAGTGTGGCTAGGAGCTAGTGATAGAAAGGTACGACAAGTATGTCATAATTTCAAGTATGTCATAATTTCGTATTAATTTTTGTAATTTTTGTCGGGCAGTGTTGTAAAGTTCATGGATTCAGATTTCCAGTGTGCTGCGTAGCTAGGTGGCAGCCAGGGATATTTTTTTCTGGAATACCTTTCAACCGATATCATGCCGAAATTACCAGATGTGCCGTAATAGAATGCCGGCATGTTTCACACACAGCTGACAGAGACTGTGCGAAAGAGGGAGAGTGTTTGCGTGTGTGTCACGCGTGTGTGCGTGTTTTACTACCACAATATAATGACGTGACACATCGTATGGTGGTCCTAACGTAAGGGCAATCTAGTGGGTTGAGTAATGATTGGTTTAATGACATCTACACGTCAATTTCCTACTTTGTGCCCCTATTCCCACTATTTTGTCACTGTGCTTGCTTTCATTTCAATCATCTGTGTATGTAGGTAGAAGGTGACTTCAAATGGGACGATACGACATCGACAGTTCGATATGGTTGGCAGAATTGGAGTCCAGGCCAGCCAGATGATCATCTTGGGAAGGAAGATTGTGTTGAAATGTGGGGCTGGGACCATGGACGTTGGAATGATGCAGATTGCGAGTTGTGGAAAGACATCATCTGCATGAGCCGTACGTCTTTTTATTTATAATAGAACAGTTTGGTATGCAAGAGCCTCTGCTGGCTCTGATAAGTCTTATGGTGAAGCCAATCACCTTATTTGGTATTATCCCCGTAGCTATGCAGTAGACGCTGCGAATAGTAGCATCTGACACTAGCCAGAGTCCACAGTGCTTTATTGTGCGTGCGTGCGTTCGTGCATGTGTGTGTGCGGTCCGTCATTGCGTGACCGACTACATGTCGTCCCACATGACTGATCATGTGACCGATGATGCGAGCATCAGCAGAGAATGTCTGTTGTTTATGTCATGCTTTTCGGTTGATTTTTTTGTGTCTTGTTTCCTCAGCTGGACCAACACAGTGTGGTCTAAGCAGCTGGGGACATTGGGGTTCTTGTTCCGACTCGTGCAACCCGGGAACCCAGTATCGGTATCGCTCTATTCAAGTACAGCCTGCCTATGGTGGCCTCCCATGCCCTCATCTGTCTGAATCACAAAGCTGCAATACCGGCTTACGTCAGTGCAACATTGGAGGAAGATGTTGGTCTAATGGCTACGTTGATACTGCTAATTGTTTGGTGAGTGTCGTAACGGTCTCTTTCTGTATTGTTAGATTTGAATGTACGTGTGTACTTGAAGTACATACAGCAGCTCAAAGCTCTAAAGTCAGTGCTCTAACTGCGATAAACACGGCGAGCTTTGAACCAGAAAAAACACAATTTTTAACGCTAGCCAGAAAAGAGTGCTTAACCAAGCCGACGCCAGGGCGGCATAACAACACTAATGATGGAGAATATGGTGAGATTGATCAAGAGATAGTGTTCTCGGCAGCCAAATGTGGTAGGGAGGGTAGGGAGGGAATGGGGAAAGTGACAACTGGCACACAAACCAGTGAATACCCAAGTAGTCCGGAAACCGAAACAACAAAATTAATGAGCTTCCTGCAAAGCAAGACAAACGGACTGTTTTGAACAGCGTGGGCGGCAGAGTGAGGCACAGGATGCGCATGCCCCATATTGCTTTTTATTTTTAATGAGCTTCCTGCAAAGCAAGACAAACGGACTGTTTTGAACAGCGTGGGCGGCAGATCAGAGTGAGGCACAGGATGCGCATGCCCCATATTGCTTTTTTATTTTTTTTATTTTTTTTTACAAAGAACACAATCCAGGCTCGAGACAAAAAAATAAGAACAAGAAAGATAACAGAGTTGCATGCAGGGAGAACGAAGAAACGACTAGAACACAGAAGTTGTGGGTTGACAGAACAAACAACAATAGACCCTTTGCACAATAAAGGTCACGTGATCCGAGACGGGGCATCCTCTTCGATTTTGTGCAGAGTATCAGTTGTTGGGCATGGTGAAACACTGTATTTTCCATTTTGGAGATGGAGGAGAGAGTGTCGAGTGGTTTGCCATCGATAGCTGTGGAACCCGTGGACGAACTGTCAAATGAAGAATGGTCTGTGAAGGAGCTGAACAGTTTTCTGCTGAATGAGGGTGCGTATCTGTCTGGAAAAAGAAGGAGTTGTGGAGCGGTAAGTTTTCCGCACTCAGTGGATTTTCGGATTGCTGTAGTTTGAAATTTTCTTTTCTTTTCTCTACCTCTCTGTCGATGTAGAGAACACTTCTCTATGCAGAACCCTGATGCTCCTAGAACTAAGAAGGGCACCACTTCCTCGAGTGTATCGTCATCATGCCCAACATTTGATGCGTCCAAGTGGATGAGTGATGAACCTTCGCAGATATATTCCCAGTAAGCCATGAACGGAGACCCCCTCGACTTAGGCCTCGGCCTTTGGGGAATCCATAAATATATAAATAAATAAATAAAACCTCTATTTCCCTGAGTGAGTGCCACACCATGCTTGCTCATCTCCAACGCAGGGGCAAGTCGCCGACGACAGTGAAGAGGGAGCTGATGAAGTAGTACTAGTGAAGAATCCCATGGATAGTGTCCATGAGTTTTACTTTGGTGGCTATATCAGTAAGTGCATAATGTGAAAGTTTGTCATATCGTGCACACAGCCACAGCTCGAACTCAGATGACTTTCTCCGCACGCCTGAGCGATGAGGCTGCGTCTCTCTCCACTTCAACATCAGCAGCTCGAGCAGCGCCAGCAAGCAGATCTTCCTTGAATAGCGAAGACAGGGATGGGTCATGCCTTTTTCTCAAGCTCCAGAGTCTCTTGGCAGGGCATTCCATGTCTTCGCAAAAGCAAGGATGAAAGTCGTCATCGAAAAAGTGTTCCGAGCACAACACTGTGAACGATGTCGCAGCAAACTGCGGCCCTGTTCTCGCCAGATAGCCAGGATTCCAGAGTGTTGTCGCGAACCATGGACATACCCATTACATAAACCACTCGAAGCAGACCATTTTTTCCTTAGTGCCCAATTTTCTTGTGAATCAAGACTGAAGAATATTTACAAGGGGAGAGCGATAATATAGGTGAGTCGGAGTGTATGCCTGTAGCAGTAGTGTGCCGTGAAAGTGTCTTGCGTACAGCGTCAGCAGAAATATACAAGCGATAAATATACAAACGCATCGAAATAAGCTCCCAAGGAGTAGCGAAGAATCAAAGAGAAGCAAGAAGAGCACCAAGTTGTGGAACTAAAAACAGCTCCACGTGCATGTAGCTGAAAAGGTGACACATACAGATACGCACGGTGCAACGAGTCCAACTGTGAGCATGAAAATGGATAGTGAAGGCCATCAAAGATGCCGATAGTCGTACACACAGTCCGTGTTGGATGTCGGTGCGTGTGCAAGCCAAGGTGCATGGGTTCAAACTGAATCAAAGGGTGCCCGGAACGGAAACATTAGAAATGCAACGAAGTGCAAGGTGAGAAAAAGGGTGTCACAAAGGGATGCGAGTGATTGAACGTACAAATCATGCACTGAACAAGGATACATGTATACGTAGCTGTGAATTCTTGGTTATATACATGCATTGTGCTCGTGACTACGAATAAATCCGATCGCATTCGCGACACTCCCGCCCGCTGAAAGTTACTACCATAGTTATGAAATAGCATACGCGTGAGTGAACAATTACAACTGTGAAATGAAGTGTTGAAAGAGAAAAATTGAGTGGAAACAGTTATTTGTATCAGACTGAATTAGTGTTGATCATGGTCTGCAGGGTTTGCCGTGATCTCACAGCCGCTGCCCTTACCGGTCGATCACTGGCTGGTACTGATGTATTCGATGCTGCCGTTGGCTCTGCTGGCTGCTCTGCCGGTGTTTCTAGTGTTGTACACTCAATTGGGAACAACAAACACAGCGGGCGGACAATGCTCTTTCCAGCTGTTAATCTAACAGTAGCTGAGGTAGGTTGTTTATCCTGATTAAAGTGTAATTCCGTGATCTTGCCGAGTGGCCAAGTACTTCTTGGTTGCAGCTGTTCCTTTATCAGTACTATACTGCCAACGGATGGGGATTCCTTTGATAGTGTACGTTGCTGTTTGAGACCAGAGTCTCCACGCTCACGTAGCGACGTCAGGTATTCTTCCCGCCATTGTTTCCAAAACATGTCCAATTGATTTGTTTGCTGACCGAGTTTCTGCAGCATAAACTCTGCTGAGCTGACCGATATTGCAAAATCGGGGTCAGTGACATCGATGGTGGTTTGCGGTATCCCGAGACAGGCATTCACGTTTAGAAGTCTAGCAGGGGTGATTACAAGACCATTCAGTTCCTCGCTAGCATACGTCAGAGGTCGAGAATTAATGACTCCTTCTACTTCAGCTAGTAGAGTAATGAGGTCCATGAGTGAAAGCAATTTGCGACCAATACATTTCCGTAAGCATCGTTTGGTGACCTGCACCATTCGTTCGTACAAACCGCCCATCCACGGAGAAAGTTGTGTGATGAATTTCCATTCAATTCCATTACTCGAGAGATAGTTTTGAACATTCTGATCCGTCTGCACAGAGTCCCAGAGCTTATTCAGTGTTTGGTCTGCCAATTTGAATTGCTGGGCATTGTCAGAGACAATCTTCACAGGTACTCCTCTCCGTGCTATGAATCTTCTGAAGGACATTAAGAATGCATCAGTTGACATCTCCATTACTAGTTCTAAATGAACTGCTCGCGTTGTAAAACATGTGAACAGTACCACCCAGCATTTCATCGTGCCTTCGTTAGATTTGTAATTCAACGGTCCAAAGTAATCTACACCCGTGAACTCAAACGGTAGCGACTCCATTAATCTTTCCTTGGGCAAAGGAGCGAGTTTAGGCATTCGAAACGGGCCACCCTCGTGCCGCTTACATGTCAAACATTTCTTTAGTACTGTCTTTACCGTTTCTCGTCCACGAGTGATCCAGAATCTTTTCCGTGATTCGTTAAGTGTGTGGTTTGTTCCGGAATGAAGTAACATTTTGTGGTAGTTCATGATAATTAGTTCCGCCAATTGATCTTTGCCAGGAAGTAAGATAGGGCATTTCGATTGACTATCAATAGCATTTTCCATTCGTCCTTTACATCTGAGGAGTCCCATTTCGTCAACAAACAGACCGAGTTTGTTGATCAAATCCGTAGATTTCTGCTTCTTGAGTGCTTCGAATTCATCATTGTAGTGTTGTTGTTGTGTAAATTGTATCCATTTCGATTCCGCTCGTTGGTATTCGTCACGTGAGATGGTGGTACCAACCGATTTTTTGTGGATTTTATCAATAAATTTCTGTACATACGCTGTGACTCTGACTAGTTTCCCGAAAGAAGTGAAACGTTCCGGGTCAATGCCTGCTGGTGATCCGTCAGGACCCTCCCCCTGCACGAAATTAGCGGTGACAGGAGTAGCCTCTATTGGTTCGTGGCTTGCCGGCCACTCTGTTTCGCCAGCTAGCCAGCTGGGACCATTCCACCAGGCACCACGGTTCAGATCAGCAACACCAGCTCCTCTTGACGCCAAGTCTGCTGGGTTTTGTGATGATCCGACGTACAGAAACTTTAATTTGTGGGAACGAATTTCCTGTACTCGCCTTGCCACAAACTTGGGTAATTTTCCATTAGAATTGTTAAGCCAGCCAAGTACGCATTTTGAATCTGACCATAAGTACGTATTTTCTAGTTTCACGGGAAGTTCCTTTTCCAGGAATGTGGCTACACGAGAACCCAACAGTACCGCAAGAAGCTCTAGTCTTGGAATGGATAATTCCTTGACTGGGGCCACCCGTGTTTTCGAGAAGATTACGTTGACCGAGCCACCAATTTCACGTAAGTATGCAACGGTGCCATAACCCTCCTTCGAAGCATCACAGAACACGTGTAATTCGTATTGGCTGTTGGGTGTCCAAGACATGGCACCTCTTGGAATTTCTGTGGCTGAAGCTTCCCTCATCTCTGCCGCAATCTTGACCCATTGACTGGTTATTTCCTCTGGGAGGTCATCATCCCAGCTGATGTCTAATTTCCATACACGTTGCAGAAGAGATTTGGCTTTGAGTACGACAGGTGAGAAATATCCCATTGGGTCGTAAAATGACGCAATGACACTCAGCAATTGCCTCTTGGTTTTAACTGACTTTGTGTCGGCGTTGTTCGACGGGACGTTGATTGTGTCTGTTACCGTGTTC